GGACAAAGAGACACCAGGGATGTGTGCACAGAGGAAAGGCCATGTGAGGACACAACAAGGAGGTGGCCATCCACAAGCCAAAGAGAGAGGCCTCAGGAGAAAGCAAATCTGCTGACACCTTGATTTTGGACTTCTAGCTTCCATTTCTATGAGAAATATATTTCTGTTGTTTAAACCACTCATTCTGGGGTACTTTGTCATGGCAGCCCTAGAAGATTAATACACCCACCACATAGATTCTGCATTGACTATTCTTTTACTGTGTTTACTCTATCATATATCTGTTTACCCATCAATTTTATTTTTTGGTAGATTGCAAAGTTAGTTTCAGATCTGTTGCCCACTTTGAGGAGTAGAATAGGGAAAGTAAATGCATGTTGATTGAAGGCCACCGACACATTTGATTGAACCCTTTCTGTGGTCAGGATAGTCAGAGAAGCAACCGGGAATTGTCTGCTCATGGGAGTTCATAAACCAGGAAACTGAAACCCAGAGATGAATCATTGTAAGGTTTGGTTAGAAAGACATGATGCTGAGCATTGATAAATGACTCTAACCCTAGCTGGCTGAGGCAACACCTCTGGCTCCTTTGGGTGCCATTTCTTCTGAGGTTTCCTGCTCATTCTCTAGGTGGTGGTGGTAGAAAGCGGTCACCACTTTGTGCTGGTAACCGAATCTCCAGAGATCTCCAGAGTCAGACATCTGGATGCAATCCTGGCCTACTTACCTCCCGCTTGTGTGTGATTTTTTTTAGGTGCATCTCTTAATCTCTCTGAGCCTCGTCTGAAAATGAGGATAATACTAATTCATACCTTGTGGTATTGCTGTGGAGATCAAAGAGGGATTGAATGGGGACACATCAGGGAATGTTCCCCATTGCTGGTGCCTTAACTACTGTGCTGAGGCCAAAGGTGGGAAATGAGGAATTTGATCAGATATCAAGGGTGATCAGATATCAAGGGTAAGGGATTCTTTGTAAACTGACTTATCAGTTTAGAATTAGGATTGTAGCAAGAGTAGGGTTCTTACTGTAACTGGATTCTCCACGGAGGGACACGGAAGCTCACAGTTGAGGCCTAATCAGGAGGCGAGCTCAGAGGGGCCTGAACAAAGTTTAGTCAAGGGGAGAGTCATTGTCGGTGGGAAAGTAGAATCCAGGTCCTCCTACCTATCCCGCTGCCCACCAAGGTTTTGGGAGGGAGCAGCAGACGTGAAGTGCCCCAGGGCCGATGGGATCCAGGGCCTATGGGACCTGGGGCCGATGGGATCCAGGGCCGATGGGATCCTAGGTTCCGACCCAGACATGCAGATGTCTTTGCCTCACACGGGCACTCTGGGTCCCTGGGAAAGGTGTCTGGGTTATCTAAGGCACAAAAATCTCTCTGTGCAGCAGTGGTAGGAGACACAGAAAGAGGAAGATGCAAAGCAGAACCCACTTTGGCCTCGCTGGCAGGGAGCAGGCCTGTGCGTGGCAGCAGCGGGGACAGGAGTGTCTGGAACGGCGCCCAGGAGGCCGTATTCCAGAAGTGGTCTCTGGACTGGTTGATAAATGCCAGAGCTGCAATTAAGACAAAATACTGTGAATATGACACCTGCTGACAGCTTCAGGAAGGCCCCGGAAACTTTTATTATGAATTAGATTTTGCAGGCAGCTCTGCTGTGATAAGCCAGTGCTGTGGCCAAGGCACCTGGGGGAATTTGAGGACAAAGATCGCCCACCAGTGGGGAACCGGGAAGATCCTCCCTCCTTGTCCAGGCCCCTTATGAAGGACCGTTGATGTCTCAGGAATTCCAGCCCCTGGTAGAAGCCAAAGCTGGAAAGGGCTTAGAGCTCATCGAGGCCCAGAGGGAAAATGAGTCGTCCAAGGTCACACAGCAAGTCACTGCCAGGGCTAGAGACCAGGGTTCCCAATCCCAGGCTGGCACGCCTGGCTGAAGGGAGTTAAAAGTAGTTGAGCATACATCCAGGCATTTGACCTAAGGAAATTCAACTGTCAGTGCTTGGGAAGACAGAGACAAAGCCAGAGAGTGAGATAAAGAGATACAGAGTCACAGAGACAGAGAGAGTAAGACTGAGACAGAAAAGAGAGCGGCAGAAGGAGGGAAACACAGAGGAGAGACAGAAGAAGACATTTATGAACCCAAATCATTAGGTTCCAAATAGAGCTTCAAGCACCTACAGAGCTGGACAGGACCCCAGCGATCACCTAATCCAGCCACCTTCATTTTTATAATAATGAAACTGAGTGCTTTTACATTTGAAAATTTTATAGAAAAATTTTGATGCCACGTGGTAAAAAAAAAAAATGCTTTTGGTGAAAGTAGCAAGAGTTCCATCTCCAAGGGTTTCTGAAATGAAGTTTGAAAAATGAAGATCTCTAGGAATATGACCCAGAAGAGAGAAATTTGGGAAAATATAATGCAGATGATATTTCTGCAACTGTCTAAGACTCAGGACTGAGCAATCTCTGTCTTCATTGCTGTTGCTGTTTCAAGAAGGACAAATATGACCGGGCGCGGTGGTTCACGCCTGCAGTCCTAGCACTCTGGGGAACCGAGGCAGGAGGATTGCTCAAGGTCAGGAGTTCGAAACTAGCCTGAGCAAGAGCGAGACCCCATCTCTACTAAAAATAGAAAGAAATTAATAAGCCAACTAAAAATATATAGAAAATATTAGCCGGGCATGCTGGCACATGCCTGTAGTCCCAGCTACTTGGGAGCTGAGGCAGGAGATTGCTTGAGCCCAGGAGTCCGAGGTTGCTTGAGCTAGGTTGATGCCATGGCACTCTAGAAAAAAAAAAAAAAAAAAAGAAGGACAAATAGCAATTCCCCAGAGAAGGACTAAGGCCTAGAGCCTAAGCTTTCCCTCCCATTCTTCCCATCTTGTTGCCAGCAAATTTTCTTTTTTCTTTTTTTTTTTTTTTTGAGACAGAGTCTCACTTTGTTGCCCAGGCTAGAGTGAGTGCCGTGGCGTCAGCCTAGCTCACAGCAACCTCAAATCCTGGGCTCAAGCATCCTCCTGCCTCAGCCTTCCAAGTAGCTGGGACTACAGGCATGCGCCACCATGCCCGGCTAATTTTTTCTATATATATTAGTTAGCCAATTAATTTCTTTCTATCTATAGTAGAGACAGGGTCTCGCTCTTGCTCAGGCTGGTTTCGAACTCCTGACCTTGAGTAATCCGCCCACCTCGGTCTCCCAGAGTGTTAGGATTACAGGCATGAGCCACCGCGCCTGGCCACCAGCAAATCTTCTTTGCTTTCAAGGCTCAGCTCAAATGCTATCTCTTCCAGGAAGCTTTCCCTGATTTCTCACTTGGACTGTCTTCCCCTCAACTGGAACCCATTCTTTCTTCGGTAAATTTTTCCAGACATCCCATGTTAGCCATCCCTTTTTTTTCCACCTTATATAATAGTTATCCAAGAATATGTCAATAAAAGAGCCCTGATTTTGTGCCAAGAACTCCACAAGCAGCCAGAGGTGGGCGGATAGTTTGAGCTCAGGAGTTCTAGAACAGCATGAGCAAGAGCGAGACGCCATCTCTACCAAAAATAATAGAAAAAATTAGCCGGGCATGGTGGCGCATGCCTGTAGTCCCAGCTACTCGGGAGGCTGAGGCAGAAGGAACTCCTGAGCCCAGGAGTTTGAGGTTGCTGTGAGCTAGGCTGACGCCACGGCACTCTAACCGATCAACAGAGTGAGACTCTGTCTCAAAAAAAAAACCAAAAACAAAAAAACTCCACAAGCTGTAGCTTAATCCTCACAATAAACTAGCAAGGTAGGTTTTACCATACCCACTTTACAGATAAGGAAGGTGACAGAGAGAATGAATAACTTTCTTAAGGTCACACAGCTACTAAGTGGAAAAACCAGGACTCCAGGGTCCATATTCTTTTTGTGTGTGTGTTTGAGTGTGACCATCTCGCTCTGTTGCCTGGGCTAGAGTGCTGTGGCATCAGCCTAGCTCACAGCAACCTCAAATTCCCAGGCTCAAGCGATCCTCCTGCCTCAGCCTCCTGAGTAGCTGGGACTACAGGCACAAGCCACTACAGGCATGCCCAGCTAATTTATTTTTAGTAGAGACGGGGTCTCGCTCTTGCTGAGGCCAGTCTCGAACTCCTGACCTCAAGTGATCTTCCTACCTCGTCCTCTCAGTGTGCTAGGATTACAGGTGTGGGCCACTGTGCCTGGCTGAGGGTTGGTATTCTTTCCATGACACTGAACAACACATTCTGAGGGCGGCAGTTGTTTCTAGTCATTGTATCTTGCATAATTTGGTACTCACTGTGTGTGTCTCTGAATGAATAAAGCAGTGAATGAATGTATACAAGAAGTGTCTTTTCTTTTGAAGGCTATAGTGCAGGGGTCAGCAAACTATAGCCTGTAGGCCCAATCCAGTGTGCCTCCTAGTTTTGTGAATAAAGTTTTATTGGAACACAGCCGCATTCATGCCTTTATGTATTGGATATGGCTGCTTTCATGTACAGTTGTAACAGAGACCATGTGACCCATGAAGCCTAAATATTTACTATCTGGAGTTTGCTAACTCCTGCTATGGTGTGTGTTTTACCAAGTTAGTTAAAACAACAGTGCTAGCCAGGCGCTGTGGCTCACACCTGTAATCCTAGCACTCTGGGAGGCCGAGGCGGGAGGATCACTCAAGGTCAGGAGTTCGAGACCAGCCTGAGCAAGAGCGACCGGTCTCTACCAAAAATAGAGACAAATTAATTGGCCAACTAAAAATATATAGAAAAAATTAGTCAGGCATGGTGGTGCATGCCTGCAGTGCCAGCTACTCGGAAGGCTGAGGCAGGAGGATTGCTTGAGCCCAGGAGTTTGAGGTTGCTGTGAGCTAGGCTGACACCACAGCACTCTAGCCAAGGCAACGGAGTGAGACTCTGTCTCAAAAACAAACAACAACAAAAAAACCAGTGCTTATTGCTAAGTACTAATAATCTTATCTTTTTAATCTAGCATATTGTGTGTGTCCATGCTCATGCACTGAGTATGCCTATAAGTACAGACAGATTTCAGTGTGCATCTGAATATGCTATTTTATTATTTTTATAGGCAGGCTTTTTCTAAAAAGATTCGCCCACGTGCCGTTTTTTGTTTGTGTTGTTGCTATTTTAATTAAGTTTAGCTTTGTTGGCAGTACCTTGGCACAGACGTGGTGAGAGCTGAGTCCCTGGCCACAAAGGTCTTCTCTGAAGCAGAAGAGGGCACATTCCCCTTGGACAGTCTCGGTGGGGGGTTGACTTTGAGGCTTGCCAGAGCGGTATTGACGAGGCGGTTTTTGAGCCAAATGAAAAGCAGCCTGTTTGACCAATTGCACTCCGTTTCTTCTCGGCTTGCAGGGGGATCAGTATCCCTGGGCTCCCAACCCTGCATCCTCCCCTCAGCCAAAGGCACTCTTGTCCTCTAAGCCTCCCATACAGCAGCGTTCGTGAGAGCAGCCAGAGCAGGGCTGCCTCCCCGTTCCTGCTCCTAGGAGCACAGGACTGGCCCCTGGACCCCTGGCATCTGGGGCAGAAGCAACATTAAAGCAGGGATTGGCTGACTCCCACCCCAAATGCCAAGCAGGCCAGGCACTGGGAGCACTTGGGGGCGTGACAAATCCCAGCCTGTCTCCAGCTTGTGTTCCCTGGCCAGTCTGCCTTGGGCCTTGCCTCGCGATGACAGACCCATCATTCAGCCTCATTCATATGCTCATCATTTCAGGACTGCTCTGTTACTCAGCGTCCTGCTTAGGTGAGTTGTGTGTGTGTGCGTATGCATGTGTGTGCATGCTCCCATTGTTTGCAAAAAAGACTCTTGGAAAGCAGACTTGTTCGGGGAGCAGGCTTTAAATTTTTTAATTCTCGGCCAGTGTTGGAATTACAATATAAAGAGGTTTCAAGGTGGAGTTGGTGGGGACCTGGTGTATATGCTCATGTGACTCTTGTGTGTGCTTCTCTGTGACCTTGACTTCAGGCTGGCAGGCTGGCAGCTGCAGCTCCCTTGGCTTTGAAGTAAAATCTTGATCTGTAGTCCGGGGTCCCCAGGCATCAGTTGGCAAAGACGCTCTCCAAGTGGACTGGCTTGGGTGGTGTGGCTCAGAAGCACAGCCACCAGACTGCCAAATTGTTTTCTTTATGGGTTGTGTACTCTCCCACTCGGGGTCAAACTGCAGATGGCAAACTTCTACCGTGGTCTTTCAGAGAAGTTCAGATTACTTTCAACTTTTAGGATCAGGATGTGTTTTTCAAAGTTTGGGTGGGGGTTGAAGGAAATTCACAGGGGGCAGCCTTCACCGGAATATGTGAGTTAGGGAAAACTTGGGGCAAATTGCAGCCAGTTAATGTGGGAAGTTTTTTGTAGCTGTGACTCCCAACTTCCAGTCCGAGCACTGAGAGCTGTCACGGAGTGTGTGCTACCTGGGCCATCTCGCCACCCGGGTCTCTTTCTAGTGCAAGTTCCCACAGGCAGGCAAAGGCCCCAAAGCAGGAGGAGGAAATAAGACATCGACTAGTTCACCAACTGGACGAGCAGGTGCAGAACAGTTAGCATACGGCTGCACTTGTAACTTTCCAACCTGCGCAGGCAGCGTGCTTAGGTCACGTCTTTCCTTTGGCGACTTCTAATGATGACACATTTGCTGGATTTGCGGGGGGCTGCTAGATGCAAAAACAGGAGGCAGAAATGGAAAAGGCTGTCTTCAGTAATCTATTGCTGGGCTGCGAGTGGGGAGATGAAGATGGACACAGTGGTGATTTTGGTGTCAGATTTATTTGAAAAAGGACTCTGCAGGTGGCTTGGGCAAAACCCCTTGTGGTACAGATGAGGAAACTAAGTCCCAGATTGAGGAAGTGAGTTGTACCAGGTCACATGACCACTTGTACCCAGACTTACACTCTTTGCTCCAAGTCCATATCTTTCCAAGAGTAATTTGGAGTGAATCGCTTTCCAAGGATAAGCCTCGGTTTCTCCAAATGAAACAGGAGAAAAGTCTCCTTTTCAAGAGTAAGTATTGAGTCCGACAGGTAAAAACAGCATCAACAACAGCAAAAAAATCCCAAACACTTGCCAAAAGCCTGTATTAAACAATTACCCATACTTTGGCGATGAAGCAGCCACATACACTATGACTTTGATGCCTTCAAGACAGGGCTAGTGGTGCTGAAATTCCGTGATAGTTGACATTTCCAAGGCAGCTGCCTGGGGCTGAGCCATGGGGTGCGCCCGGGTTTCTGTGGGCTCTATGTACACACACACACACACACACACACACACACACACACGCACGCACGCACGCACGCGCACACACACACGCACAGTTGTTTTCATTACAACAGAGCCTTCTGGGGCTTTTCCAGACTGGACCCTGAGCTCAGACACGATTCTACAGAGACAGCACAGACCCGAAGACCCACAGGCCACTCGGGTGACACCGAAATAGACATGTGAAGTCCTGGCTTAGTTGACTGGGAGGGAGGAGCGTGGGGGAAGCTGCTCCCAAACACGTCCACCTGATGGAAATATCCTCAGCTGGAATGAGCTATAAATAAACTAGACTGCTAAAAACAAACAGCTCCAGGGAGCTGGGGGAGGGGCAGAAATGCATGGCCTTCACCTGCTGGAAGGGAAGTGGGTCAAGGGGAAGGGTGAGCAGGAATGGGGTGGGGGAGCGAACAATGCAGATGCCTCCGCAGGAAAAGCCACCGATAATCTGTGGTCCCTGGAGAGGTCTCCAGTTTCCAGGAAGAAATGAGAGAAGTTATTGCTTTGAATGATGCAAGGTCTTTCACCAGTGGAAGGCCACACAGGGTGCTGGGTGAAGGAAGGCATCGGAGGCCATATATGGTCTGGAAAAATCATGGTGATGAACGCACATTAGCTGTGCAGACCCGCCAGCCTCCCAGGTGTTCCTGGCTGGGAGAGGCTTTGTGGGAAAGTCCAGCCTCAGCCCTTAGCTGTCCACTGAGGCAAAAGAGAGGGAGGCAGAGGAGCAGCTGCAGCTGGCGGACCTTAATAGGGTTCCAGGGTTGGTGCGAGCCTGCCAGCCTTCTCCTCGTGCCCAAGGTTGAGTGGGACAACTGAAGCTGCACACTCTTAGCTACTCAACACTCTAGGAAAGAAGCCTGAAGAGGAATACACTGATGTGAATATCAAATTCTAGAATGATACAGCTATGTTATCTCACCACCGAGAAAGACAAAAGCAGCCCATGGCAGCTGGAGCTGACCCCACACTCACAGCTCGGCGCGGTCCTCTCCTGCGCACAGAATCGATATCACAGAACACCAGCATCAGACAGAGCCACCTGTGACTTTGATGGGTCAAGACGGAAGAAAGAATTACTGTAATCATGAGTGAACACAGACCAAAACAAGACTGTCGCGACAACCCCTAAAATGACCAAATAGTCTCCTATCCTTGCTAAGAGGAGTGATTGCTGCTTTTTTGTTTTTAGACTGATCACTGCTTTCGTCTTGCTCTGTTCTCTTCTAGGTAAGAATTAAGACACCCAATTATAGAACAGCCCCTGCTTCCTGATAGCATCCAATCCAGAGCGAAGCCACACTTTCCTTCCTCCTAGTGTCTCCCCAAATCACCTAGCAAAAGCCCCAATCCTACAACAAATCTTTTCTAACACTGTCTTACTAAGAGGCCCCACAGATGGTCCTGTGTGGGTTCTCCCACACTGCAGCAAGCCAGCAAACCCTACTTGGTTCAACTGCAGGTGTGTTCCTGCGGTCTTTGGCTGTAGCATTGATGCTGTCGTCTCCAGTAGTGGTTATAGGACCCCTCCCCGCCTTCTGAGCTCCCCGCCTTCATTTCTACCCACATGGGTCGTAGCGTAGAGTTCAAGAGGAGGGGCTCCGGAACCAGGCGGCCTGGCTCTGTCACTGGCTAGCTACATGACTATGGGCAAATTGCTTAATCTCTTTGTCTCCATTAACTGATTTGTAAAATGGAGATGATGATGATAGTAGTACTTAGCTCTCAGGGTTGCTGTGAGGAGTAGGTGACTTTATATGTGTGAACTATTTAAATAGTGCCTTGCATGTGGAGTTTGTCCTTAATATTATTAATTCAGCAAACATTTGTGGAGTGCCTAGTGTATGCCAGGTACAGTGCTAGACTCTGGGGATAAAAACTGGCTCCTCCCAGAAAGCACAGTCAGGGAGATTCAAGCAAACAGTTTTTCCCCATAGAAAAGAACTAACAGGAGGTCAACCCAGAGAAAAACACAGCAATGCCACTGGACCTCGGCCTGGGAAGTCAAGGAAAACTTCCTGGTGGAGACGGCACCTGAACAGTTCTTGATGAATAAGTAAGAGTATCCAGGGCTGGGCTGCCCTGGGGCTGACACAAGTGGCAGTACAACCTGGTTACTTCTGGGGAGCACCCAGCACTTACTTGCCTGGTGCCTGAGGCAGGTTCTGGAGCACTAGGTGTAGACAGTAGGCAGACACTGGTCCCTGGGAGATAAGACAGAAAACTGGGATCAGGACTGAAAGCACGTGGTGGTCAACCTGCAGGTGTTCTGTGCGGTCAGAGGTTCTGTGAAGGGGTGCAGGTGAGGGTACCATTGTGAAACCAAAACTGGGAGCTGAAAAATTACAGGTTTGGACAATTATGGCTATTGCTGCTGTGAACATTGTAGTACATGTGTTTTAGTGAAAATACATGCACTTATCTGTTAGTAAATCCCTAGAGTGGAATTGCTGGGCTATAGTATAGTGTATGTCTGTGTTCAGCTTTAACAGAACATATCAAGTAATTTCCAAAGAGGTTGTAACAATTTACATTCTCGCCAGCCAAAGTTTGATCATTCTGGTTGCTCCACATTCTTGTGATTGGTCTGTCCTTTTCATGTTGGCCTTTCTGGTGGGTGTGCAGTGGTACCAACCCAATGAACATCAGCGATGTTCAGCAGAATGGATAAGTAGACGTAGTCGCACAGTGGAACTCCGATCAGCAGTAACGGCTACACACACAGCCTGGGTGGGTCCCACAGGCACTGTGCTGAGTGAGAGAAGCCAAAGACAGGCATTCGTATTTTATGGTTCCATTTACAAAAGGTCAAACTTAGGCAAAGTGAATCCCTGGTGTTCACATTCAAGATGGTGGCAGGGTGGAGGCGGAATGCAGAGATTGGAGATTAAGGGGGCTTCTGGGTTTGGGGGAGTTCTGTTTCTCAGTCGGGGTGCTGGTTTGTCTTGGGCTGTAACGCATCCCGTGCTTGTTGTAAGGCAGACTCCAACACTGCACATATGCTAACATGGAACACGGGCGAGACTCCACGGGAAAATAAAGCTATAGAGGGGAAGGGCCTTCCCTTCCTCTCCTCACACTTGGGATTAGGCCACCCATATACTGAGGCATCACAGTGTGACTCTCCAGTGAGATGACTGACACTCGGATGGGTGTGGAGAGTCTAGAGTCAAGTGGTGAGTCTGGGTCTCCTGTAATTAATGAATTTGTTTGATTCTGCCTCCCTGTCTAAACAATTTCCTTCTGAGTACAACATCAAAGTTATTAAGACACACTTCCTTCCCCCCAGAGGGGGGCACATTATGAGTCAGAACTTTGCAGCCCTTGCCACATCTACAAAGTGGCAAGTCAGTACCTGAGAAGGAGAAACGGTCGTTATAATGGTCACAGTGTCCGTGGTGTCTGCTCGTCTACTGACCATCTTACTCCAGCAGAGGCAAGGGCAGGGCTGTGTCAAGGAACAGTCAGGAGGTGCGCTCACGTCTAACAGGCCAGAAATTAGATTCGGAATCCGGGGTGGCAGCGTGGGTCTCCCCGAACACAGTGGGCATGACAGAGGCCCTCCCACTGACCCCACTAACGAGCAGCAGTTTTCTCTGAACAGCCCTTCCCAGCCTGGATCAGAAGAAGCGTGGTGGCCACAAAGCATGCTGCCTGCCCACGCCCCCGCCCCCGCCGCTGTTCCCACCGCCCTTCTTCAGGGGGGGCCGCAGCCCGGTGAGTACGTCCTCCTCGGTGCCACCACACAGCCCCCCAGCTCCCCGCACTCAACGCGAGCTGCCTCCGTGGTCTTTCCTGACAGGCTCAGCCCTTCGCTCTCGCCCAGAGGTTGAGCCCTGGAATGGACAGCTTGAGTTTCTGGGGCACGTCCCTCCTTCTCCAGCTGTCTTAAATAAGGGGTGGAGGGGGATTCTTTTCAGCAGGGAACTGGGTTTGGCAACATCCCATCTTCTTGAAAACAGTGAGGTGAATTTATAACTTTCCGGATTCCCATCAGCTGCTCAGATACGGAATTTCCCTTTCTGTTTTTCTTCTCCCCAAGTATTTATGAAGTTCCATTCCACAGCCCATGTCTAACGCAGGCCATTTCCAGAAAGTACCTCAGGAAATAGTCCTGTAGCCACGCTGAAGTGTGAGAGGGAACAGAATTTGGGAAGAGAGGAAAAGGTGAGGGAACAGATCGGGAAACTGACCTAGAAGACAACAGTCTGGGGCCTTCTAGGGACTTGGGATTCTCAGCTCTTTCCAGAAACTGTTAGACCTGCACCATTCAATACAGGACCCACCAGCCATATGTACATCAGGCACTTACAGTGTGGCTAGTTCCAGTGGAGATGTGCTGTAAGTGTAAAATACACACCAGATTCTGAATACTTAATAAGAAAAAAAGAATGGCAATTATCTTACTGATAACTTTTTTATATTGAATATATGTTGAAATGATAATATTTGGGGTCTGTTGGGTTAATTAAAATATGCTATTAAAATTAATTTCACTTGTTTCCTTTCACCTTTTTAAAGGGTAAAATTGTGGCTACCAGAAAATTTTAAAGTACAATGTGGGCACGCCTACAAGTACAATGTGACTCACGCCTGTAATCCTAGCACTCTGGGAGGCCGAAGTGGGAGGATCGCTCAACATCAGGAGTTCGAAACCAGCCTGAGCAAGAGCGAGACCCTGTCTCTACTAAAAATAGAAACAAATTAATTGGCCAATTAAAAATATATAGAAAAAATTAGCCTGGCATGGTGGTACAGGCCTGTAGTCCCAGCTACTCGGGAGGCTGAGGCAGGAGGATAGCTTGAGCCCAGGAGTTTGAGGTTGCTGTGAGCTAGGCTGACGCCATAGCACTCTAGCCTGGGCAACAGAGTGAGACTCTGTCTCAAAAAAAAAAACAAAAAACAAAAGTACAATGTGGCTCTCACTGATGGCTCGCACTACATTTCTATTGGACAGTGCTGCCCTGGACATTGGATAAAGCCCCTGAAGGGAGCTTCCTGACTCTATCCAAAGTAGCTATTGGGCCTCTGTAATGCACTCAAGCCAGGCACGTCTCAAGAGCAGCTGAGAGAACAGAAACTGGTGGCCCAGAATGTTATCGTCTTGGGACACTCATTGGGGAGCCAGGAAAGTGCCAGTCTTGGGGACCTGACCCTGGAGCAGGTCTGTGTCCAGGGTGCGGACCCTTCCTCTGTCCCCTAAGTCTGACCTCTGTCTCTGTGTTGCTTTGCACTGAAGCTTCTCTCCCCAGACATGAAGAACCTCATCCTGGAGCTGGAGACGTCGCAGTCCTCGTGCATGCAAGGCTCGCTCGGCTCCCCTGGGCCTCCCGGCCCCCAGGTTGGTGCACCATTCCAGACCCTCTTGCTCTCTTCCGTACAGAGCAGGGAAGCCCACTGGGCAGAGCCGCTTAGTGTGTGCCCCTTCACATGCGCTACAGGGCTGTTTTCCTTCTCTCGCTCACCTCCGGCTACAGAGCCACATGGATAGACCACTGACGCCCTCTGAGTGAATTCTGGCTCCCCAGACTGGATTCCCTATCTATGCAATGGGGATAATAATTGTCCCTGCTCTCCTGGGTTTCAGGGGAAATCCAATAAGATGCTGCCTACGTGGATGTGGTTGTCACTATATTTATTAGCAAACCCTCCATGACAGTGCCCTTATGTGCTCATTGATCCCTCTGTGGCCCAAGAGGTGCTGCATTCAGTGCTGGAAAGTGGGTGCAAAGAGGAACTTGTCACCCTGAGCTTCACTGGGCCCCCAGGTCCTGCTACCAAGCAGCCCGCCCCTCCCCACAAAAGTGAAAGGGAAGAGTGAGGAACAGGCCAAATGCTAGAGAAAAACTTTCATTTTTTATTTTTTATTTTTAGAGAAAGGACTTTCTAAACAAACAACAGAGTACCCTCCAGAGACCCCACCTTACAGACTCCTGGCTCCTCCAGCCACCTCTGAGAGGGGTGCCCTCAATGAGGGACATCCTTGGCCTGGGCTCTGGGCGTCCCATGGGGAGGAGAAATAGGGTGTAAGGAGCAGCAGTCAGTTCCCCAGGTGCCTTCCCATGCAGGGGGCACAGAAATCAAGTCGCACCCCTTCCCTTGATTTACCATCACAGGAAGACTAAGAGCCAAACTCCTAACCCTGGATTACAAAGCTCCGTGGGAGGGGACTCCAGCCTGCATCTCCTACATCATCTCACACCACCTCCACCATCCTCTCCACTCAGCCACAGCGGCCATCGCTTGGGGCCTCAAATCCTCCAAGCCTGCTTCAGCCTCAGGGCATTTGTGCTTGTAGTTCCTGCAGTCTGAGATGTTCTTCACTCTGGTTTTTATCATGACCAGCTCCTTTGGACACTCAGGACTCAGTTTACTTTTCTTCCTCAACCACTCAGTCTGAAGTAGCCCGAACCCCAACCACCAATCACTGTCTGTCAGTCACAGTATCTATTTCAATTCTCTGCACAGTTTTCCATCCTGTTGCAGTTCTCTCTCTCTCTCTCTCGCTCTCTCGCTCTCTCTCGTTCCTGGTCTCTTGGTCTCCCCTCTGTAAAATGTTACTCAGTGGCAGGCGTTGCCATACTATACTTGTGGATCAAATCCTGCAGCAGCCTGTTTTTTTTTTTTTTTTTTTAGTTCATGTCTTTTATTAACTCATGTATAATTACTTGTCTTCTGGTTTATTGAAGCAGTAAGTTAGACAACATTTGCCACAATAATGTCTATCAAAGTGGCTGGCCATAAAAACTCCTGCGCCACATTCATCTGAAGGACACTCCCGACGAAGGCGACTAATTTTGCCATTCTCATCCACCTTATAGTATTTCAGGACAGCCAGATTAACCTTCTTTCTCTTATGCTTATTCTTCTTGGGAGTGGTATAAGACTTCTTCTTCCTTTTCTTAGCACCACCACGAAGTCTCAACACAAGATGAAGAGTGGACTCCTTTTGAATGTTGTAGTCAGACAAAGTACGTCCATCTTCTAGTTGCTTGCCAGCAAAAATCAGTCTTTGCTGATCAGGAGGAATTCCTTCCTTATCCTGGATCTTGGCCTTTACATTTTCTATTGTATCCGAGGGTTCAACTTCAAGAGTGATAGTTTTTCCTGTAAGGGTTTTTACGAAAATCTGCATCTTGGTGGCGGTTCCACTGGAGATGGCGGATCCGAAAGGCAGCAGCCTGTTTTAAACTTTAACTGAAGTCTTATTGTCTATGGCTGCTTTTGCACTAGAAGGGCAGAATCGAGTAGTTGTGGCAGACACCGAATATGGCCCACAAAGCCTACGATATTTACTATCTGGCCTTTTGCAGCAGAAGTTTACTGACCCATGGTCTATGGGAACAGGGACACCGTCCATCTTGCTCACTACTGTGTGCCAGTCTCCAACAGTGCCTGGTTCTTCACATAGATTTGTTGACCGAAAGAAAGAAAACAGGACTCAGAACCTAGAGTTGGCCAGAGGCTGCTGCAGAGGGGCTGGGAAGTCTGCAGAAAGGCAAGATGGAAATCCTCTAAGGTGCATTTCTATCTTCCCACCTTCAGCAGTCTACTCTGACAGATCTCGGGCATGCGAGAACCCACAGAATATGGGAAGGAAAAGGGGGATTCTCTGCCGATCTCACAACAGTAGCTCTCCAGTCACGCTTGCACGTCTCTAGCCTTGTGCAATCCCATTGGAGGCACGTGGAGTCCGCGCTGCCCAATTGCAGGGTCTGTGCGGCCACCTCGCTTCCCTGAGCACACAGCATGAGTGCTGTCCCTTCTCAAAGTGAGATCCCCGGACCAGCAACATTGGCATCTTATGGAAGTTGGTTAGACATGCAGAATCTCATCTCTCCCTAACTCATTCAATCAGAATCTGCATCTTAACAAGACACCAGCCCTCCACTGAGTGAATGGTGTAAATCATCTGAACATTCAAGTTTGAGAAGCACTGAGCTAGAGCACAATGACCTTGTGTAATAGTTGTAGCCCATTTCAAGAAATGGGAAAAACTAAGGCTTGGAGGAATGAAACGAAAACTCTTGTTCCTCCCCATCCCCAAACAGAAGATGAATAAACCAAAGATGGTGGTTCTCAAATTATCTGCAAATTCCATTCCTCTGGGGAGCTTCAGAAATCGCTGATGATCGTGCCCCTCTCCCAGAGACTGTTATTTAATCGATCTGGGGTGAGGCCTGGGCTTTGGGATTTTTCAGAGATCCCCAGGAAATTGTAATGTGCTGAGAGTTTTGAGAACTACTGGCTGGGAGGGGTGTGTGTCAGTTGGACAAGTTTCTAGAAATCCTATTTCAAGCAGGCGGGGCTTTGCGTTGTTTGAGTTCACCTGCAGACCTTGGAGGTGCAGTGGGTGCGTGGGGGAGGGGGTTGATGGAAGCTGTTGTGAGGAATTTGGACAGCAGCTGGCTGAGCATTTCACAGGTACATGAGCAGAAATACTTGCATTCTGGCTGAGGGTGTGCAAAGCGTGGGTGCAGTGGGTTCTAGGGTCCCTGAGCTGGAGTCAGTGCTCCACACTGACAGTGACTCCTGTGTCTGGGCAGTGGGACAAAAATGCACGATTTACTGCCCACGTTCTTAACATCTTAAAAAAGAAGACTTTTCCTGCTGAAGGAGGGAAGGGGAGAATTATCTGGCACCTGGTACCCACAGACCAGGCATGGGAATTTCTAAGTTGGCTGCTGCCATGTGCAAAACTTAACTTCTCTGTCATCAGGGCCCCAGGGAAGCTTGGTAACAGTAGCCAAAAAGATATGAGAGGTGGCAAAGCCTCCTGTTTTCGGCAAATGGAATTTCTTCAAGACTCTTCAGTTGCTCTCACCTAGCACTTGGGATGTTTCAGGCAACCAAAGGGTTCCAGGGAGAAAATTAAAATCACAGAGAGTAGATGTGTAACCATTGCAGCCCTGGAACCACACAGTTCAGGGAAAGCTAAAGAGGACGAGGAACAGAGCGGAGGGGACCGGGCTGGAGGGCTCGAGCGGGGCCTCATGGGTGGGTCACCTGCGTGGGGAATGAGGCTGCTGCTGGAGGAGCTCCGTGCACCAAGAGCCTCCGCACCAGTCCTGTCTTGGGCTGATATATACTTTCTTCACTTCTTATCTTCATTGTCTAGGGTCCACCGGGACTTCCTGGCAAGACAGGACCAAAGGGAGAAAAGGTAGGAGCCACTACTTTCTTCAACCCATTTCTCCTTGATAGTTCCAGCATATTTTCTGGGGGTGGCGCCAAAACTTTTCTGGTTGAGATTTCTAGAAATGTGCTAATTCTGCCTTAGTGCCGTGAGGATGGGCTCCATGATGGCTGAGCTGCTGCAGCAGGTGTGGGACACTGCTGGTATATTTTGACGTGGCCACTGATATGGCTTGGGCTGTGAGTGGCCAAGTGACCAAGCCTTGTAGCCATGCCCAGTCCTCAGCCCTCCTAAGCCCTCTGCTTCCAAAGCAGCCTCTCCTCACCTGTCTTCTCCATCCACAGGGGGAGCTTGGCCGACCAGGAAGGAAGGTATGGTCTGTGCTGTTCTGTCGGCGTCACTTGGGCACCTGTGCTCCTCGTGCGTGTGAGTGTGTGTGCACTACCGGGATGGGGGACCAGCGGTGCACTTCAGTGGCCACTAATAAATGTCTAGGTAGACAGTAATGGTGCTGCCATCCCCACAATGACAGTCGTAATCTTGCCCTTTCTTCCAAATCCTTTGCTTGGGACCTGGAGCCTGCTACTGCCGGGCATTCAGACTCCCTGCAGGGGCTGCTACGCCTGGCCGCATTTCCCCCCAGCCTCAGACCCTCTCATCAGAGAAACCCTCCAAGGCCCCAACCATTAACACAAAATAACTCTCGCTGTCTATTTGATTAAACTGGAATAAAGTGCCAGAGCAGACAGAAACAAATGGCTTTTGCTTTTTGGCCCAGCTGAAATAAATGGGAGTTACTTAAGGTCACAGTGACTCTGAGTGAACCAAATACATGTTATCAAGACTCTCGTTAGTGTCACAAGGAAGTAAATCAGCAGGCTATTATACTTGCTGTGGCCGGTGGATACTGACACTGAATTTCTAGGTCTCAGTGATAGAAAGGGGTACAAAACTTTGGCCGAGAAAGATGTGCATGGCTCTAAATATAAATTACTGTATTTCTCATTAAATGTTTTTATTCATGTGGTTTCACTGTTGACAACAGCCTTAAACTAAACAGACCTCTGTAAGGCAAAGTTACAACTCTTTGGGGCACAGATGAAAACTCTAGCCAAGGCACAGCTGAAGTCCTGGGCTGGAAACGGTCCTGGGGGTGGGGGTCTCCATGCTCAGACCTAACGAGGACCATGAGTGGTTAGGGACATCTGCATGGATGTGGGAGGCAAGAGTAGAAACCAGGAGATATGCCAGCATTTGGTGCCTCTGGTTTAGAGGCTGAGCCCTTCACATCTCTAGCTATGACATTAGCCAATGGGTGCAGAGGTCAAGATAGACCCCCCAGTCCCTGCTTTCACTCTCTCTTGCAGGGCTCCATAGCCCTGGCTTGACAGAGACAGAGACAGCATGTACCATGTGCAAGTGAATAAATTATTAAGGAAGCACTCTGAGGAGGAGCCTGGAAAGGAGCGGTGGTGTCAGGTGAAGCCCAGCCTTTGCAGCCTGCTCCCTAGGGGAGCTGGGGAGTGCGAATTGCCCTACAGCTTATCCTGCCTTGAGGTAGGGAGCTGGGCTGTCGGCTGCAGGGAGAAGAGGCACATTGCTAGGCAGTTCCACTCACCCAAGGGCAAACTCCGCAGTTGCTGGTTGCAGGAATGAGCTGTTAGCCACGAGAAAGGTAGCCTCTGGAAGATGGGTGCTCTGAGCAGGTAAAAAAGACCTTGAGGGAGTACCAACAGCATCAGCGACTGCTTCCCAAACATAGTCCTATCTCATTCTACAGAATGTCTTTGGCAAGAAGCCATGGGAATGCAGGGGACATTTGGGGCATGAGTGTGGAGGTGATGAATATTGAAAAACCAGAAGTTTGGAATCCCTTTCCCACCACACTCTATTTGAGTAGAATAAGATCTTGTTTGGTGATACAATGTGACACTAAGGGTTTCACTTATACCTAAATGATCCAACTGTTTAGGCCATCAACTTTGGAAGGTGGGGATGAGAGTCCTGGGGGCCATATTTGAAGGCCCCATCCTCCCCGTGGGCCCCAGAGGTACATACTATTTCTTGGAAGTAAAGAAACAAAACCATTTGTCTTGACTTTTGTTCTTGGTCTTTGAAGGGTAGACCTGGCCCCCCGGGTGTTCCTGGCATGCCCGGGCCTGTCGGCTGGCCAGGCCCTGAAGGACCCAGGGTAAGTATGGTATGCTTTGGGGGCTCTTTTGGTGTCAGAACAAGAGGAGGGAGGATGGTAGCTCCCTTGGCACCTGGCACATAGTCAGTGAATCACTTCCTCAAGAGGAGAAATAAAAAGGAAGCTCAAGGACCATCTACAGGTCCCCAAACACTTCACTCCGTCTGTAAGACCTTGGTCAGTTTATGTGCGAGGAGAAAATGGGGGCAGCTCCCCTTTACAGAGGGACCCTGGTTCTTCTTTGTCTTGAGAATTAGCAGCCCTTTCTGTGGTTTCCCTGAGATGACTTAAGAGAGGCTTGTTCCTGGGAAGCTCTTGTCCCTGTCTTGCTGATCTGGCAGGGGTAGAGGATAGATAGGGTGTGTTGGCTGGCTGAAGAATGGCAATCCTACAATCAGAGAGGGATTGCCAAAAGCTGATGAAATCCCCTTCCTCAGCCAGGGTATGGAAGGCACACAGCCTTATCTATGCCTCGATTTGTGTTCTTCTCACTGGTGGTCATAGACTAGATGGTTTGGAGACCAGGACTCAGGAATTTTACCTGTAGAAGTCAGGGCCGGGCAGATGGATAAAACCATCTCTGATTCGCTTACTGGATGTGTTATGGGAGGAGAAAACTGGGTTTCCAGTCCTCTTAGGACAAGTCCCAAGGAAATTTCTTTTAAAAATCCTTGGTATAGAGCTGAGCTGTCCAACATGGCAGCCATTGGCCACCTGTGCCGATTGATCCTTCAGAATGTAGCTAATCAACTGAGGAACCAAATTTTTAAATTTTAATTAAGTTTGAATTTAAAAGCCTTTACTTAACTCAGTTATTTGAAAACATTTAAGTATGTTTGGAGCAAGTTTAATGTGTGAATCTGCTTTTCCAACTATAAATTTTATGTAATCTAAATACAGATCAAGTATTTTGGATGAAAATTTACCACCTGAATTGAGATGTGCTTTAAATGTAAAATACACAGCAGATTTCAAGTAGTTATTATGAAAAACAGAGTGCAAACATCTCATTTATAATTTTTATATTGATGACATGTTGAAATGATAATTAGATTAAATTAACTAGATTAAATGGGATATGTCAAATTTCACCTGTTTAGTTTTACCTTTAAGGTGACTTCTAAAAAAATTTTTAAGTAAGTATGTGGCTCACCTTGTATTTCTTCTGGTTAGTGCTGGTCTAAAGTCTTTTACTATAGAGGGTTCTGGAAGTTCCAATTGCAAGCCATTTTGAGGAGCCTCCCTATGTAAAGGGCAAAGCAGGAAAAGTTTCTTTGTGTGTTGACAACTTGCTTTCTGAAGCCCCAGTGCCCTCCTACCTTTTCACAATCCTCGCTAGGAAAAGATCAAGTATGACCATTTAAAACATCTTAGTGAGCATTTAGTTTGGAGATCTGCTTTACTTTGGGCATTTTCATTTTGTATTTCATCTCAGTAAGGGAGTGAAATGTGGAGTATGGGGCAGTGGGACTCTGGGAGGGAGCAAAGGGGCATTTGGACATTTGGGGCCTCGGATTCACAAGCCAGTCCCAATGTCCTCAGTTCCATTCTGATCTTGCCCATGACTCTCCTGGTTCAGTTTCTCTAAGAAATGTCACCATGGGTCTTTTTTTCCTTATTCTGTTTCCCATAGGGTGAAAAAGGTGACATGGGTATGATGGGCCTGCCAGGGTCAAGAGGACCAGTGGGCTCCAAGGTGAGTGAGTGGTCCACATGGATATCCCCAGGTCTTTTCACTAAGGCTCTGGAGCAGCTACACAGATGGGGACGGGGTGGGGCTGCTATCCTGGGTTGGGGAATGTCACAGGTGTTGCAGAGCCGGACACCAGGGTGTTCGCTTTGACCAGCCCTTTAGGGGACACCATGCCTTGGGAGGTAGGGATATATTGATGCCATTCCTGCTGTTCTCCTGGGCAGTGAGGGTCAAGCCTCTGGACAACAGGTCAGATGGAAACCTTTGACCAGGTCTTTGCAGGGTGAGAAAAGCAATGTTCTTTTTAGGCCTGGTACAAACACAGCCCTCTGGGACATCTTTGTGTTTACTGCCGCAACCCCACTGAAACTTCCAGCACAATGTGGAGACCCACATCCCCACCTCTTTCAGGGATGCCTTCCACTCTGCACCCAACCCAAAGGTCCTACGGGGCCGATTGTAAATGCACCTTCTGCTTTCTTTTAGGGATACCCTGGATCCAGAGGGGAAAAGGTTAGTGCTGGTCTCTGATGGCATCCAGAGCCTGGTGTGGGGAAGAGGCCCTGGCATTGGTGACATGCAGAGGGTGGGCCCAGCTCTCTCTTTAGTCTGCAACTGCAGTGACCATCCCTAGATATTCCCCTGTCCTTTGTCAGTGGCTGAGAGAGAAGTGAGGGGCCTCCTGAAGCAAGGCAAGCAGGTTAGGGAGGGCCCCCATGGAGGCAGAGGCCCCTGTACATGGAGCAAATGAGCCAAGGAAGGCAGTGCCAGGTAGAGAATGAGCACAGTTTGCATGGAGTGCTGCAGGCAGATGGCGGATGTATGTCTTTAGGCCAAGCTTCCACCACCATCCTCATCTATCCAAAAACCAAACCAAAACAAAACAAAATGAAAACCAGCAAGACGTGGGGACAATTGCCCCACAGGATCAGAAAAGACCTAGGGCCCAGAATTTTATATGAGTTGTCCTTTATTAATGTAAGAGATCTCTGGGGTTCAACTAGTAGGTAGATCACAAAGCTTTCCTTCCCTGGGCAAGTCACCTGGTATCTCTGAGCCTGTTTGCCTGTAAAATGAAGGTATTGGCTTAGGGAGCTTTTCAATTCGAAATGGTCCAGTCGTCCCTCCCCTGCTCTAAGGCATTAACTCTCTCCTGTGGTTTCCTCCTAGGGATCTAGAGGTGAAAGGGGCGACTTGGGTCCCAAAGGAGAAAAGGTAATGGCCACTCCACAGAAATGATAAACTTCAATGGAAGTCCACCCCACCTGTGGACTGATGATGGACTGACAGGCCTCCATCTTGAAAGGGGCCAGCCAAGCTTGTCCACGCCCTTTCAGGTGTTATTTCAGAGGTGATCACATTGTTTGTTGCTCTTTTCACAGGGCTTCCCAGGGTTTCCTGGAATGTTGGGACAGAAAGTAAGTACCTAGAAGTTAGACCTCAGTAAAAAAAATCAGGCCCTCCAAGCACAAGAAGAAGACTTCTGCCTCTTTGTCCATCAAGCAGGAAAAGTGGGTTTAAGCGTGGACGTGGAAGGTTCTGCCTTAGGGTGGGGAGCGAGTTGCCTTACACATTGGGGACAGGGCGGCAGGATGGTCTGAGGCCTCACTCCAGCTCAGTGAGAGGGAAAGGATAGCCCATCTAGGTAGAGAGAGGCCCTTCTTTGCTTTTCCTGCCTCTCAGAGGGCCGCGGTAATGTTCGAACTCAGAAACCTCTCTGACTCCGATCTGAGCTACAAGGGTCAAGGCCCCTGAGCACATGGGCCCCAGTGCAAAACACGGGCATCTTTGGTTTAATGTCATTGCTGCCTAAACCCTTAATGCAGTCCTTCAAGGCACATCCTGCCAGAGGGACACAGAAGTATTTACATAGTTAAATATTTAGTGGATATCTTGTGTGGGGAAAGGCTTAATAAAGAAAGGAATCAGTTCCAGGTAACTTAAAGGAAACAATATTCAGTAAATAACAATAGAGTTGGCTCTTTGGCACCTCACCAAAAAGAAAAAAGAACAATAGAGTGGTGTGCAAATTGGACAAAAGTTGTGAAGGTGGCCATTGACCAAGATTTTTTTTGGAAAATTTGACTTAGGGATAGGGCCTAGGGAGGAAGAATGAGGGTAGGTGAGGGGGGTATCGGAGAATAAAGAGAGAAAAATGCAGAAATGGCCATTTAGAACAGCTCCTGGCCGGGTGCGGTGGCTCATGCCTGTAATCCCAGCAAGGCGGGAGGATCATTTGAGGCCAGAAGTTGGAGACCAGCCTGGGCAACACAGCAAGACCTTGTCTATACAAAAAATTTAAAAATTAGCTGGGTATGGTAGCACGTATCTGTAGTTTCAGCTACTTGAGAGGCTGAGGCAGGAGGATCATTTAAGCATAGGAGTTCAAGGTCACAGTCAGCTATGATTGCACCACTGTATTCCAGCCTGGACAACAGAGCAAGACCCTATCTCTAAAAAATGAAGGAAAAGGAAGAAAAGAACAGCTCCTAAGCTAACATCATGGTGTTGGCTGCTCATGCTGTAAGGTCCTGACATTGGAAATCGTTATTTAAAACCTAGGTCTCAGACCATGATATTCTTCAAACATGCAAATGGGATTCTTTCTTAGTATTTTTAATTTTTTAAGTTCACCTTAAAGTTTTATTTTCCAAGCTTGAATAAACATTCTTATCTAGTCTTATCCAGTCAGTAGAGCATGTTTAAATATTTCCAATCTTCATGCATTAATTTATTATGATTTATCACTACCTTAGGCTGTCAGAAACGGTTACTGCTGCCCTTGATAGGGTATTGGATTTAAAAAAATAGAATAATTATATAAGCAAATTAAAGGAAACATTAAAAGAGAAAAAACAATTTTATTTTTAAATATTTTTTCATTGTAGCACTTTTTATGAAAGTTGGACATAAGATTATTTTATTCCTGCATCTTCTCAATTTTCTTCCTTGTACTTGCCTTTTTTCCTTTCCTGCTTGGCAAGATCTGGCTTTCTGTTCAAGGATCATTTTGCGGTCTTTGTCCAGTTTAAGCCTAGTGATAACCACCTTGCTGGGGTGAATACCCACATGGGCAGTTGTGCCATTAGCCTTTTCCCGCTGCTCCCGTTCAACGTAGACGACATATTTCTTCCTGTAAGCCTGGACTCCTTTGCCAATTTGCTGACCTTTATAGTGTCCCCAAACCACCTGAACCTCATCACACTTTCGGATGGGCATGGATCAAACACTGTATTTCTATCTCAGCTCTTTGGAAAGAGAGGGGAAGACATAATCTTCCTGGGAACGTGGGAAGGTGCATTGAAATGCCTTTTGCGGTTCTTGCTTCGGTCAGAAATCACAAAGGGATTGAACTTCATTTTGGCCGCTGCCGCTTTGGAGATGGCCGCAAAAGGGAAGAGAGCTACATTACTTTTAAATATTTAAAATAAAATTAATTCAGCAAAACAGTGAACATCAAAGAATAATAAATTACTGTAAAATTAAGTGTGACAGCTTCTCTGGCCTCCGCACCATTTCTAGACTTGCCATCTAAAGACTTTTCTTCCCCTTTCGTGGCAGGCTGTTTTAAGACAGAGCAGATATGATAACCATAATTATGGCTTAGGAGAGAAATTAGATCAAGAAATTACTGGCTGCTTCCAGTTGATGTAGAGAAGGGCCACACTTCCTTCTGAAAATCTCTTTTTAAAAATGTACGATGCTTGTGCAGCTGTTTTCTCCCAGGCAAACAAGATATTCCCTGAGCCCCTCTAAACAGCCAAGGGAAAATTATGCAAACATCTCCATGGTCACGTAGAAACCACCCTGCCCTCTCGCATTCTCTCGCTGCCTAGAATGCTGAAGGATGCGTGCGTTGAAAGAAATCATAGATTTAAGGACAATTCTTGGTGAGGCAAGACACTGGTGGCTTGGGTTAGGGACAAATTCATTACATTGGCTGAGCTGACAGGTAATTTCAGAGCTTTACGCTTGATCCTTTCTGTATACTGGTGTTCCCTGGACTTTTCCATTGTGTCTAACCCCCTCTGACCTCCACGTGGAAAGGCGCTTGGGTGTTTATTGTTCTCTCTGAGCGGCTGGGCAGCTCCTCACGGGCACTGGCTGCTGACTAACAGAAACGCTCATGGTTGCAATTGCTAAACTTACCTTGGTGGTGGTGCTTTCTGGGCTCTCGGGGGATTACTGGAGATAGGAATGATGCGCCCTGTGGGTTCATGCCTCAAAGAAACTGTAAACAGGGCTGGAACCCTAGAAGAACATGTACAATAGAAGAAGAAGAAGAGAAACTAAGATGGAGAAATGGGTTTTGTGAAAGATTGGCCTTAAACTATGAAATCCCGCAGCTAGTGCACTTGGTTCTAAAAGTTCAACATAGGCTTATCAAACTGGAATATTGTTTACATACTTTCCCTGCCTTTTTCAATAATTATATTGAATATCTGAACATGTCTTTGGAAAATCTCTCCCCACAAAAAGAGTTTCCATCTAAATCAAATGGAAGTGAGCTGGAACTTAAACCAATATTTACTAAAGAGTGGCGAACTAGATAATCCCAAGCAAAAGCAGAAACTTCCCAAAGATGATAGTTGGCAAAACTGTGTCCAATCACTCAAAAACCTTTAAATTTGAATTTGTGCTAAAAAACAAAAGACAATAAAGCACAACATAAAATTTCAACTGGAAGGAAAAGCATGTCCCCCAGACAGCTGCAGGGTCACAGGCACACATGTGACTGTAGTGCACAACCCTCCCACTCTCCCACTTTGGCTATTCCAGATGATGGTTTGTCTCCCCCCGCATTTGGCCACCAAAATGTGTGCTGCCCTACAGCTTTCTCTGTCAGATAATAAATAACCCACCCAGGGTTACCTTCGTTCTTCCTCTTTCTTAAAAGACGTACCTGCCTTTCTCATGACTTCATCGCTTCCCAATCTCCCAGCGCAGCCCAGTTGGGAAAGCTTTGGAAAGATCCAGCAGCCAATGACTGGATAAACCTGTATAAGTGTTCCTATTCCACATCTCTTAATTCCTCTCTTGCTTCTCTGTCTTCTCTCCAGGGTGAAATGGGTCCAAAGGGTGAGCCTGGGATAGCAGGACACCGAGGACCCACAGGAAGACCAGGAAAACGAGGCAAGCAGGTAAGGATCCCAGAACTTCCTGACCTGGCGGTGCAGAGAGCAGCAGGCAGGTGGGGCCAGTCAGAGCTATTCCATAGACCCAGACACCAGCGTCCTCTGGGCTGCTGGACAGACCAGCGCCACTTCCAGAAGCTGCTGGCATCTCTAGGCTAGCCATAGTTTGAGGCAGATGGGATGGGGTGCTCCCATCTGCCTGTGCCCAAGGCCAGATGCAAGAGGGGATAAGAACATGTCTTTCTTAACTCAAGCAGCTGGGAATGGAAGCCATATGTGGTCATTTACCCAGAAAATCTGCTTTTTGCCTCAATGTCCCAGACGCAAATGGGGGATTGAAGAAGAGCCCAGATAGTTCCCTGCTGTTGAAGGGTCTTCTGAGTCTCAATAGCAGGGTGTTTTTTTCCCACTCAGGCCCCCAATTTATAAGTGACCCTTTCTATTAGATTTATTAAGGGTTAGGGAAATTGTTCATTCTGAAGTCCTGCTGGTCGGCGGGCTCTTATGTTAAGCCTTGTGATGTGACAGGGAGAGGAGAGAGGAAGATGCTTTTGCCTTGGCTGGCTCGAGGGCTGGGTAGGGTGCCTCAGAGAAATGTCTGGTCTTTTCTCTAATGAATAGGCACTCCTGAGAGAAGATGTGTCCCTTTACTTTTTTAGTTATCAGTTCATTGGCTTTTTACCTCCCTTCGCATTATAAATGTAATATACAATCATAAGAGAAAACTTGGAAAACTCAGAAATATAGGAGGGGAATCATCTAACGACCTAATGTCCAGGCATAACCACTGTTGGTGGTTGTGGTATCATTTTGGTATATTTCCTTCCAGTATCATTTCTTTTATACTTGGTAGTTGTTTGGGTTTTTTTTTACAAGGATTATATTGTTATTGTATCATAAAATTTTAAATTAATACCACAATATGCACATTTTTGCTTATTACTGTAAGACATTAATTAAGAATTTTTAAACATCCTTTTTAAATGTCTGCATCTCATTTTAGTAGATGAGTAATAATAAATTGCTTGGACAAGAGAGGCCTAACCAAATTATATGTAATACTGAGAGGTGAACATCTTTGTATACAAAGCTTTTTCCATTCTTTTTTTTATTTATTTATTTAAATTATTTGTAGTTTATTCTTTTATTCTTTTGCCTCTGAATCTACCCAAATGTCAGAGACCATTCTTTTCATTATTTCCTTAGGCTAGATCTGTGGTCTTCAAACTCTATCTTACATCAGAATCACCTGGGGGGTTGATTAACTACAGATGTACAGATTTCCCACACCTGGTACAATGGCTGTAGTTCCAGGTGTGTGTCTCATTGTCCCAGTGACTGATACAGTTGCCCTGGAATGGGCCTTCAGCATGGTGTTTTTAAAGGCTGTCCATATGATTCTAATATGCAGTCAGGGCTCAGAACCATGGTAACATGGCAAAGCCAACTCTGGTCTTTTCCAAGTAAATGTGGAAATTACACAGGCTCTCACCTGGATCATTCAGACTGCACACTAACTTTTGAAGTCATAATATTCCAGCCCAGTTTTCAAAGTTTTACAATAGGTAGCATGGTCATGGCTTCACAATGACGCCACAGATAGCAATTTCCTAGGCTATCTAGGATAGCCTCCACTAGGCTCAGAAAATGAAGGAAAATGCCTGTAAGTCCTAGCACTCTGGGAGGCCGAGGCGGGCAGTTTGCTCGAGGTCAGGAGTTCGAAACCAGCCTGAGCGAGACCCCATCTCTACCAAAAATAGAAATTAATCGACTGACTAAAAATATATATACAAAAAATTAGCCGGGTATGGTGGCGCATGCCTGTAGTCCCAGCTACTAGGGAGGCTGAGGCAGTAGGATCATTTGAACACAGGAGATTGAGGTTGCAATGAGCTAGGCTGACACCAAGGCACTCACTCTAGCCTGGGCAACAAAGTGAGACTCTGTCTCAAGAAAAAAAAAGGAAGGAAAAAATGGGGCAGGGGAAAATCTTTTCTTTATCACTTTCTCGCCTGCTGATGACTTCCATCTAGAATATTTTATGCTTGGGGTTCAAAAAGCTTCTGTCCTCTAGTACTTTTCTTGTGCAGTGTTTATCTTTTTCTGGTGACAGCCAATGCCAAAGAGTCTATTTCATGACCCCGCTGACATTGATTCAGTTACAGTGCTCTTAAAAGCTACACCAAAACCACACCTGGGAGCTCAGAGAAGTTCGGAAAGTGAGCTCAAGCTTTCTACAAGACGGTATAAACAACCTGAGTGTGCTCCAAACCCTCAGTGTCTTTCCAGCCACTGTGTGGAATGGCTGTCTGACTAGAAGAGACAGCTCGTTGAGTGGTTAGCCTTGGAAGCCGGCCATGGTACTTTCTTTTTATCATGAATTAATTTCCTGGTGTAGAGTCTTGTGTACCCAATGTTTGTTAGGCCAGTGGTGCTGAGTTTCTGGAAGTTATTATAAAAGTCAATCCAAGGCCGGGCGCGGTGGCTCACGCCTGTAATCCTAGCACTTTGGGAGGCCGAGGCGGGCGGATCGCTCAAGGTCAGGAGTTCGAAACCAGCCTGAGCGAGACCCCGTCTCTACCAAAAATAGAAAGAAATTAATTGACCAACTAAAAATATATATACAAAAAATTAGCCGGGCATGGTGGCGCATGCCTGTAGTCCCAGCTACTCGGGAGGCTGAGGCAGCAGGATCGCTTGAGCCCAGGAGTTTGAGGTTGCTGTGAGCTAGGCTGACGCCACGGCACTCACTCTAGCCTGGGCAACAAAGTGAGACTCTGTCTCAAAAAAAAAAAAAAAAAAAAAGTCAATCCAAAACCAGGAACCAGAAATCCAGAAGGGATTTCAGAATAGAATTTTCCAGTCAGAAGGATTTTAGAGGCCACTTAATCCAACCTCCTCAGTTTATTCAAAAGGAGACTGAGGGCCTGGGAGGTGGAGTTGATTGCCCAAGATCCCTCAGCTAAGCCAGCTTCAAAGCCAGGGCCAGGTGTGGGCCTGTGCTCAAGAAGTCAGAGAGTGGAGCCCAGATTTGCCCCACATCACTTCTCTCAATCGCCTTCATGCTTGAGGACCTGCCTTTGGGCGGGCCCTGGAAAACAGGTGCGGACTTTATTGTAAAACCTTCAGTTTATGGAGACAGAGCAACTTCCTTAAGAGAGACCACCCAAATTTGTGAAAAATAAGGAGTAAAGAATGCCTTTCCTGGAAAGACATGGCTTATTCTGAGCAGATGACCGAGGAGCGGAATATTCCATTACTGCTGGTGTTGGAATTAAGGGGCATTTCCAGCTCCTTCCAGCTTGGGCACTTCCTGTGCTCAGAGCCAGCTGACATGGCTGTTAGAAAAACAAGCTGTAACTGTGGCTATATTAAGACGGTGTGACTTCCTTTGCCATTCTGGGACCCATCTTGGTTACTGCATGGAATGCTTCAGCTTGGGCTAAGGCTTAAGAACTCCGTCCATAAGGATGGAATTGGAAATAAAGGCTGACCTCTCAGGTCCCGTATTAAGAATTTAAGAGCCCCTTGGACATTACCAAGAAGGCCCCTAGGGCAATGTTGACAAGGTGGCAGGTCACATGTCACCATTGTGACTGGAAAGGAGTCCCCCCATGCCTACTTCCCAGACGTGGGGGAGATTATGTTTCATCAGGTGGGCAAGCCTGCCAAGGAGAGCCAGGCCAAAGATGTCAGTATCAATCACTGCCCTGATTAGACCTCGGGGAAGAGCCCACAGCACGCGCCAGCCTGGGTTTCTGGGGTCTCCCCTAAGGGCAGCCTTGAGGGGGGACCAAGATCCTGATCTGTGCTGTTGAAGCCCCCAGAGGAGGTAGCAAAGAGGACACTCCATGTGGAATGGCTGTAGCTACAGATGTCCTTTTCTTTAAGAAAGTGGAACTTTTTCAGGATTTTTCTTTTGAGAGACAGGGTCTTGCCCTTTTGCCCAAGCTGGAGTTCAGTGGCATGATCATAGCTCACTATAACCTCAAACTCCTGGACTCAGGTGATCCTCCTGCCTCATCCTACAAGCATGTGTCACCACACTTGGCTAATTTTGTATTTTTTTTGTAGAGACAGGGTCTCACTATGTTGCTCAGGCTCATCTCAAACTCCTGGGGCTCAAGCAATCCTCCTGCCTTGGCTTCTCAAATTGCTGGGCTTACAGGCATGAACCACCACACCTGGCCAGGACTTCTTTAACCATGTGAAACAGATGAAACCAGGCTAGTTGCTGAGACAATTGGCTTGCCCCACATGGCCCTTTGTTCTGAGCAAACATTTTCATCTTTGAGATCTTTGTTAGTCTCACAACAAACCTCTGTGGGTGTATTTTACCATTTTGCAGATGATAAAACCGAGGCACAGAGCAATGACAGGGGTTATCCAGGGTCTCATAGTCACGGTGAAAATTCCACATTTACAGATCAGAAAAGCTGCCTCCCCTCTGTGTTTTCAGTGTTTCTCCTCTCCCTCATTTCATCTGGGGGAAGGGAGGTGAACAAGACAGATTCAAGCCCACAGGGAGCTTATGTCGCAGGGGGAGACGTTGATGAAATGGCCACACAGATAATCTATAGGCTCTGACCTGGGATAAATGCCATGAAGGAAAAGGGCCAAGGTAGGAAAGCCCATGGTGGGGAGAACTGACTCCGTCTGAGAAGGCCAGGGAAGGCTTTGCCACAGGGACATTTGAACTAAGAATCAGAGGGCTGGTGGCAATTAACTAAGCAGAGGGGAGAAGGATGAGTTTGGGGCAGAGAGAAGGGTCTTGAGAAGGGGGTAACAGGCATGGTGCTCTTAAAGACCAAAATGAGGCCGGAAGGCCTGGTCATGCAGAGCATCATAGACCGAAGTAAGGAGTGAGATCTTTATCCTAAGAGTAACAGGAAGCCATTGAATGGGCACAGCTCTCTTGATGAATAAAAGTGATCCTGTCTAGCAGGCAGAGGCCTGAGTTCTAAGCCCAACCCTGGCACCTCGATGCTAGGTGAGTCACATTAAATGCTGCTCTTTTCTGAGCCTCAATTTCCTCATCTTCCCAGGGCAGGGCATGGATTGGATTGATTCCTTTCAGCTGTCATGTGTCGTATTTCTAGGACAGAGCAAGAACTAAGGTCTGCAAACTTATAACCATCGCTATGTCGAATGTCACTTGCCCTGAGCTTTTCACGAGCTTGGTGGTCGACCTCTGGGGCTGCATCCTGCTCTGGGCTCTTGCCCCTAAGTGCAAGGGGGTCCCTGATTCAGAGACAAATGGGGAAGGAAGTTTGCTATGTCATGCTGTCATAACGGGTTCTGCCCTTCTCTCCCTCAGGGACAGAAGGGAGATAGTGGAGTTATGGGCCCACCTGGCAAGCCTGGGTCTTCTGGTCAACCTGGCCTCCCAGGCCCCCCAGGACCCCCGGGTCCCCTGTCTGCAGGTAAGAGCTCCCCTGCTTCCCTTGATCTCGTGTCACACTCCTGGCCAGCTTGTGCAGAGAGGCACAAGGAGGGAGATGCTCTGCCTTGTGTTTCAAGTTTTTAGAAACTTCCAGAGGCATTTTAATTAATTAATCTATCTAATTAATCTTTATAATTTCTCTACAATTTAGCTCATTCAACTTTTATACAAGAGAGATAAATGCTATTCTGGATTTGTTTTAGCATTTTGGAGAACAAATAGAGAAAAGAAAAAATTAGCATCGATGATCATTTATACTTTAAGCGAAAAATAACGGGCACATATTTCATCAACTAACACCTTTTTCTAGAAAAACATGTTTCAAGGCTCCAAACAATTCTCTTAAACATAAAAGTAAAGATGACATTGGCAGATTTTTCTATCTTACAATGTTATGAAAGAGTCCTTATTTGTTTGCATTGAATATAGAAAGATATACCTTAAAAACTCTTCTATGAAAGAGTGCACAGGCACACTGCCACCTTGTTTGGTTTGCTTAGGTAAGCCTTTTATCTTGTTCCCTTGTCAGCTCCTCGCAAGGCTTTCACAGTACAGCATCTGTATAACAACAGCATCTCTAGGTCCAAGAAGATTATTTGCTAACTGTGCAAGATTTTCTGCCCTCAGTTGTACAAAAGTAATCAAACAAGTTTTATTCCAACTTTTTTAAGAACAATGAAGAAATTTTAAAATTCCATAGTGTACTTTTCCCCCCATGTTTATGAGAATATATTTTCAGCTACATCACAGGATGGGCAAGAAATGTCATATTTTGTTAGATCCTTTAAACCAAATTAAAGCTGACTCTGAGACTGCCACCTCCCAGCATGGCAAGAAAATTCAATCTCAGGCATTATTGGCGTTCTCACCACTCCTCCGACTGCTGCAAAAGGGTTGGACAAAGATCCTGGTGAATGATGACAGAAAAATGTCAGGGGAGGTCCCTCCAGCCTTTGTTCCATCCTGCTGTCCAAGTCCTGTGGTCCATGGATACTTGGTGTCCTCATGTCAGGAGTGGTTATCGGAAAACTTCCAAGGCTAGGGATCTTGGTCCCTAGGAGCACCCACAACCATTCTTTCTGAGACCTTGTCTCTGCCTCCCTTATCCTCTCCATGTCTAGAGAAATCTCTCCTCCTCCACCTTCTGGTCCCCTCCTTCCTCATCTTCCTCATATCACTCAATTAGGAGCTTTGTCCTTCTGAGAACAGAAGGCAGAAAGGCAAGTTTGTCTTCACATAGTACCTACTTTTAGCAAGGACAAGAAAGCACAGAGTCTTGCTTTCTTTTTGCAATTGGGAGAGGAGGAAATACAGGGAGAACAAACATCAGTTAGTATGGTAATGACTTACCTTGCCACGCCCTGCATGCTGTTAGGAGAACTAGATGTGAGATGCAGCCCAGGCCACATGTCCACATCCATAATCTGTTTCTGCACGTTGGCTGTGTGACCTAGGTGGGGTCCTTTCAACTAGTCCTCGTCCTCCTTGGTTCTGGCCTGCATGACATCCCTCTGAAGCACCATGACCACAAGCTGCCAACCTCAGAGACTGAGCACATGGCCTGAAGCCTGGGTTTTCCCTTTGGAAGGGACTCTCTTGGGCCTTTGGGGTGCTTAGGTGCTCAAGAAACTGAGGAGTCATCCAGGGGCATGGGGCAAGTGGCTGCATAGAGAGGTTCTTTGTAGACTGAGACCTTAATGGTCTTACTGTATTTACTTAGTAGGAAGGCCAGCCCTCATCTGACTAGAATTCTGCTTCCCTCCTAGAGCCAGGAGAAGGACAGAGCTCAGGCCAGGAGAAGGACAGGGCTCAGGGCTGTCAGCAGCTCCTCAGGTGCCCACTGCTGGGTCTTGTCCAACTTTGGTGTATTGCAGTCCCACCCTTTTAGCAGTCCCAGGAGAGTCCTAGTCTCTCTCCCTGGCCTTCCAGCTCCTTCTCTTCTGCCCAGTATGCCCACCTCCCTTTCACCTCCAACCCCCCACCCCCTGCCAGACCCCGGCCTCACTGCCCTCTGCCCTTCAGTGCACACCCTGCTCTCTGCTGAGCTGTAGCCTACTCCTGTGTTCTCTCTGGGTCCACATGGCCTCGCATGGCACTCCTGTCACCCTCTGTCCATGCAACAAAAGCCTGAGCTTCCTTCAAGGCCCTCTCATCAATAAGACCTCCATTGGCCCCTAAGAGGATAGGCCGCCCTCCCTGAACCCAGGTTGCACACTGCTGTTATGCTCCCTCCTCTGGTAACTGCATTTTTTTTTTTTTGAGACAGAGTCTCACTCTGTTGCCTAGGCTAGAGTGCTATAGCATCAGCCTAGCTCACAGTAACCTCAAACTCCTGGGCTCCAGCAATCCTTCTGCCTCAGCCTCCCGAGTAGCTGGGACTACAGGCATGTGCCACCATTCCTGGCTAATTTTTTCTATATATTTTTAGTTGGCCAATTAATCTCTTTCTATTTTTAGTAGAGACAGAGTCTCCCTCTTGCTCAGGCTGGTTTCGAACTCCTGACCTTGAGTAATCCTCCCACCTCGGCCTCCCAGAGTGCTAGGATTATAGGCATGAACCACCATGCCCGGCCTGGTAACTGCTTTCTGCAGAGGTTTCATCTTCGTGCTGCTCAGCAAGTTCCTTGGGGGCAGGGTCGCTGTCTGAGTCAGCTGCACATCCCCCAGGGCACCTGGCAGTGGGGTGGGCGGGGCTGGCCCCTGCAAGTGCTCCTGGCCCATCTCCTTATAGCATGGCATAGGATGCTGGCGAACTCCACTTCCCCCACCTGCTCTGGGGCTGTGGCTCTGGAGGAGTTGTCGGGTTACAGCCAGCAGCCAAGCAGGGAGTGGGCCCTCTCTTTGGACTGATGTCCCCTCCCTATGCCTTCCTTTGAGTCACTTCCTTTCTGAGAAGCCTTCCAGAGTGAGGGGGCTGAAAAGGGAAAAGAGGAAAAATGGGGCAATAATCCTGCCCTTTGGAAAAATGTTGGCGGTGTGGGAAGAAAAGAGGAGGAAGGAGTTTAAAAGACCAATCAGATAATTATGCGGAGTTGGAACAGGTCCCCAAAGTGATTCCTGCTGCTACCTCTGAGAGTCTGATAAAAGTCCCAAACCCACTCTCAGGGAAGAATGTGTGTACCTACACCCAGGATTCTGCACACTAGTTCCCAGGGGTCCAGAACCCCTGACCCAGACCATCCATCTTGGGGTGTCCTCGGGCTCTAGAGGCCTCAGGTGAAACTCCCCTGGTCTAGTCCATCCCTCCCTTTCTAGACACAAACCTTGAGCCTCAGAGAGGAGTGACTTCACGAGGTCACACAGCTGACTGGTGGCCACTCTGGGGCAGGGTCAGTCTGTGACTGCTCTGACTCCCCAGCCAGCGATGCAGCCTCGGGCGGTTGTCCAGCTGGTTCCTCTGCCTTCTCCCGGACTCCCCCTCCTGACTGCTCCACTGAGGCAGCTGACGGAGGGGAGGCTCCCTGGGCACAGAGGGAGTGCCGGGTGATCTGGCCACGGGGCGTGGAGATGAGGCCAGGCCCACAGACAGACGAGCTCCCAGAGGCCGAGGTGGGGAAGTTCAGGTTGCTGTGCCCTTCAGCGCAGCCTGGCGGAAAGCAGGGCTCACGGATGCCTCCAACGGCCGGCCGGGAGGAAGCTGCAGGGAAACTGCAGTGGTGGCAGCAGGCTCCCTGCCACGTCCTGTCGGGAGGCCCCCTCGGCTCTGGGCCCAGCACCAAGGGACCAGATGGTGCCGGGGAGGTGGACCAAGTGGGAGTGTTAATTACCCGAGTTACAGGGAAAGAGGGGCTGGGGGTGGGGAGGGAACAAGGGCAAAATGCCTTTAGGATGTAATTTGCAATAATCAAATCACAAATTTGGCTGATGCCTTCCTGCACCCAGACGATACATAAGTGAATCAGCGTGGTACCTGGGAATTGCCAGCTTCCTGAGAGCATCAGTATTCTTGGACGTTTGTCTTTTGAACGGCACAGTGTTAAGTCAAACGTGAATTCAAATCTCAGCCTCACCATTAATTAGCTGGCCAGTGCAACAGACTCCTGAGTCGCTCTGGGCCGTGGTTCTGGAAGAGTTGTTGGGGTCACAGAGCCTTCCGTAAGGCTGCCCCAATGCCACTCTCTTATAACTCTTGGTTATAAGAGCTTTCCCACCTCAATTTCCCCAAATGCTTAATTACCCAGACCATTCCTCGGCTGGTAGAGTGTCTGACTCTCTGGCCTCTTCTGAAAATATCAGAACACAAGACTGGAGCTTTTCCCACAGAACTGTATTTATATTTCTTGTTAGAACAAACAACCATAGCTTGGCATGAGATGGCAAACCTCCCTGTCCCTCAGGCTGTCAGGATTCTGACCTTGGGCATATCTGTCAACCAGCTCAGGAAGGCTCAGGGTGTTGGGGTCTTTCTGTTGGGGTCTCCATTTCCAGCTGCAGCTGTTTCCCTGGGTTGCTGGCCAGATCTCTCCCCTGGGGTCAGTTCATTTCTTACCCTTCTGGGATCTGGGAACTGTGTTCCCATTTCCCTGCTGCTCCAGATGTCATTCTACCTCAATCATAAGTAGTCATACTACCCAGTTACTGGCTGGTCTCCAAATCTCCCCTTATTTTCCCAGGAAAAGGGGTCCTTATTTCTCTTTTCCTTTCCCATCTTTTCTTCTCTTCCTGCTCCTCCTGTTGGAGGGCTCTTGCTCTAGTGCTTTTCTGTCAGCCCGAGTGTGACTTCTAGCTTTTTCCAAAGACCTTTTCTCACCAATTAGTCTGCATGCATTCATTCCATCTTCAAATGTGTACCATGCCCTTACTATGTGTGAAGCCCTGGGGGATGAAAACAGGCACCAGCCCCACCCTTGTGGAGCTGACATTCTACTGAGAGAGATAGACCTCGATTGAATAAGTTCACAATGTGTAGAATCACAAACAGAGATAAGTGCTGATGGGGGTATGGTGCAGGAGTGGAGCATTTGACTGCAGAGCTGCGTGCTGGGAAGGGAAGGGATGGGGAACGATGAAACTGTATCTGAGGTGAACATGACAGAGTGTGAGGATTCAGAAGGGCTTTCCTCAGACAAGTGATGTTTGAACCCACATCAGAGAGTAGTTAGGCGGCACCTGGGAAGAAGAGGGATGGAGGATGAAGGGAGGGTGAGCTGGTGGGGGAATGGCCTGGGCAAAGATCATTTCGCTAGACCAGCAGTTCTCGGCCTTGGCGCACATTGGAATCATACCAAGAACCTTTAAAAGTATGGATCCCAGCCAGACGCAGTGGCTCATGCCTGTAATCCTAGCACTTTGGGAGGATCGCTTGAGGCCAGGGGTCGAGACCAGCCTCAGCAAGAGCCAGACCCTGTTACTACAAAAGAAGAAAAATTAGCCAAGCATGGTGGCTCTCACCTGTAGTCCCAGCTACTCAGGAGGCTGAGGCAGGAGGATCACTAAAGCCCAGGACTTTAAGGTTGCAGTGAGCTATGACAATGCCACTGCAATCTATCTGGAGCAACATAGCAAGACCCTGTCTGGCGGGGGGGAGTATGGTTCCTTTATACTAAAGTGGCATATTTTAAAAAATAAATTTAATTAATTAATTAATTAAATGAAAGCATGGATGCCTAGGTTCTAGTCTCAGAAGATGTGATGGAATTGGTCTGGGATGTGGCCTGGGTATCAGAGCCTTTAAATGTCAAGGTGAGACCTACTACCCTAGCAGTTCTCCTACACTGCTAGGACATAAATTTCCTAATCATATTTTTTTAGTACATTTCCTGACTTTTCTGAATACCAGGGGAGAGTAAGTGGGCTGAGCATATACTAATGTTCCATTTTCTTCCTGAAGAAGTAAAAGAAGCCAACACCCAGAAATTCCCCTCTGAAGCTTCTATATATAAGAAAAGCAAAATTAAAAAAAAAAACAAAAGTTATCAGTCAGCAATGTGCTCATCTGCCAGAAGCCCCCTGTTAATATGGTCTAAACAAATATGGCCGGGTACAGTGGCTCACCTGTAATCCTAGCACTCTGGGAGGCCGAGGTGGGAGGATCGCTTGAGCTCAGGAGTTTGAGACCAGCCTGAGGAAGAGCGAGACCCCATCTCTACTAAAAGAATAGAAAAAATTAGCTGGGTATGGTGGTGCACACCTGTAGTCCCAGCTACTTGGAAGGCTGAGGCAGGAGGATGGGTTGAACCCAGGAGTTTGAGGTTGCTGTGAGCTAGGCTGACATCACGGCACTCTAGCCTGGGCAACAGAGACTTTGAGGTGAGACTCTGCCTCAAAATAAATAAATAAACAAACAAACATATAGGGCATTGTTTTTTCCAACAAAGAAATGCAGATATGGTCAGTAGCTGGCTTTGGTTCAGCCTCTAACTGTCACTATCAGGCCCCAGGCCTCATGACCCCTTGTCTTTCCTGTGTGTTAGCTTATCTTTTCATGTTTATTCCTTCATGGTCACAATATGGCTGCTGCAGCACCAGGTGTCTTGTCTGTCTTGAAGGCAGGAAGGAGTGGGAAGCTATGTCTCCAGCTAGCTATTTTTCTTACCTTATCTCCTCCATATCTTGGATCAAGAGCATCTCTTTGGACTTCTCCCTCAGGCTTACCTTGAAATGCTGTGCACTTTACCTTCTTTCTGTTGCAAAGGTTACTCACATCTCCTTCGGCTGTTAGGTTTTCTCTTCCTTGGCTCCAGTAACACAGCAGTCTGTTGCTTCCTAGGACAACTTGTCATGGGACCCAAAGGGGAAAGAGGATTTCCCGGGCCTCCAGGAAGATGTCTCTGTGGACCCCCTGTGAATGTGAATAACCCTTCCTACGGGGAATCCATGTATGGGCCCAGTTCCCCTCGAGTTCCTGCGGTAAGGCTTTCTGGGAGAAGGCTGGGGTGATTATCCATAAGAACCTCTCACCTGATCCTCTTAGGGCTTCATAAAATCCTTTCGGTAAAATTGATTTTCCTCCATTACTCTGGGTAGACACTCAGTGTAGGAAATTGGAAAATCCAAAGAAGAAAACCAAATTGGCCATTTGATTGTGGGTCCCCTTGGGGGTATTTTCTTTGTCTTTTTTTTTTTTAAAGAATAATGTATATATGATTGAGATTATATTGCATAAAAATGTTGTACTCTAGATATCTCAGTTGCAATCCTGCCATGTTTCTATACTCTATAAATATCATTTTAAACTTTTTATTATAGAAAATTTCAAATCAATCTAAAAGCAGATCAAGCTTGTAATGAACACCTATGTACCCTTTGCCCAGCTTTAGTAATTAGCAACTCATGGCTAGCCCAGTTTCCTTGTTTTCTCTTTATGCCTACCCTCTACTGCCCACCCTCCCCGGGATTATTTTGAAGCAAACCCTGGACATCAATTCGTCATAAACATCATCTGAGTGGATGCGTAGTCACCCATCCACCCTGTGGCTGTACTTGCAGTAGTGTAACCACTGCCCATGGTTGGATATTTATAGGGTGCTCCTGAGTTTTTCACTAATGTAAATAATCCTGTAATGAACAACTCTGAGCATGATCATTTTGTTAAGCATCATTTTCAGATGTTGAATTACTTGACTATGTGACATCATCTTTTAAGTTAAGTTTTGGGAACACTCAAAATGTTTAAAAATGTTAAAGCACAGTAGATATTTTCATTTCAAACTCAGACATTAGGCACAGGACTGAGAAGGTGTAGGAACCTGGATCTTCCTCCCCACTTCAGAAGGAGTGCCAGGGCGTAGCGTGTCAGCCCCCTTCCCACTGTTCACCAGGCCAGCTCTCCCCTGCCCCTGTGGAAGTGTTTTCTGGAATCCTCACAGTGTGTGTTCTGTCAGATTTTTGTGGTCAACAACCAGGAAGAGCTCGAGAGGCTGAACACCCAAAACGCCATTGCCTTCCGCAGAGACCAGAGATCTCTGTACTTCAAGGACAGCCTTGGCTGGCTCCCCATCCAGGTACCCTCAGGCGGGCACCTCAGGCCACCCCCCACTTCCCTCTGCCCAGGAAAAGGCCGTATCCACTACAGGAAGGGAAGGCCATGTGGTCAGGCCTGGGCAGAGCTTTCTGCCGTCTGTCTCCATGGAAGGGCAAAGCATCCTCCTCACACTTTTTCTAGCAGCTTCCATGCCCCTCACCCCCAAATAGAGCTCCTCTCTGAGCCAAGGTTCCAGATGATCTCCACATTCCTGCACCGCCAGGCTGCCATCTTGGTCTGTCCCAGCATTCCGCCCACCACAGAGCTCAGGCAACACCCTTCCCAGCCCCCAGGAAGAAGGCAAGGGAGGCCGCCCAGCAGTGCCCCCTGGACCCAGAGCGTCTGTCCCCAATGCTGACGACCTCCCTGCCTTGCGGCTGCCCGGGCATGCCATCCTCCAGTTAACGCTGTGTGTTTCTTTGGCCAGCTGACCCCTCTCTACCCTGTGGATTACGCTGTAGACCAGCACAGCACCTGTGGGGACGGGGTCCTGCAGCCTGGGGAGGAGTGTGACGACGGTAACAACAATGTGGGTGACGACTGCATCAGTGAGTGAGGCCCAGCCCAGGAGGACCTGAGGCCTGAACAGCCAGTGGGGTGGGGCTTGGGGCTTGGGGCAAGCTCTGCACACCAGCTCTGGTGCTTTGGGACCATTCTAGAGCCAGGGAGGGTGTAGCCAGGCTCCCATGTGCCCCCCCTTCCCCAATTTCAGGCCAAATGTTGACTCTTCCACCACCCAAGCAGGTCAACAGTGGGGGGGGGTCAAGCATCCTGTCCCCAGAGAGGCCAGGTGTAGCCAGCAGGCCCTCCCAATCCTACTTTGTGGGAAAACCCATGTTTCAGGCACAAGAGACAAAGGTGATGGGCTCTCCCTTTGCATGCAGAAGCGAAAGGCAGAGGGAGTGAGGACTGACGACAGGCAGACTTCTAGCCCCAGCGCCCTCCGTAAGGGGAGGCTGCCGGCCAGCGCTGCCATCCTCATGGGCACTGCGGAGCCAGAGCCAGGCAGGCAGCAGGCGCTGGAGGTTTGCTTTTTTGTTTGTTTGTTTTAACCCTTTGCACTCGCTCGCTTTTTTCTACTTAGGATTTAATTTTTTAAATACCCTAGATTTAAAATAAATAAATAAATAATAAATACCCCAGATTTTACAAAGTGCCGCAATAGAATAAAATACTGGAGTTTCTTTTCATACAAATTTATTTCTTTGGATTTTTTTTGTATTTCAAATTATTGATACATTCAAAGAATAATTTTAATCTCTATAATTTTTCATGGTGTGATATTTTTTGAAACATTCACCCACGTGAAGACCTGGTTTACATTCACATGTTTTGCAAATATAAAGCGCCTCTCTTCTTCCTCCTTTGATTTTTCTGTTAGAACAAACAACACAATCTTTGTGTTTTTTGTTAGGGTGAGGTGTGATTATATGGAGCTTTCAATCTAAAACCTTGCTCTAAGTTAGTGGATAATAATCTACCCCTGGAGGTTAGTGTACCATCTCTGCATTCACATTTTGCTTGTCCTTTCATGCTAATGAAAACAAGAAAAGATACTGGAAAAATAGACAAAAATCCCCCTTCTCTCCCCCCTCCCCCCCGCGGTGAAACTATGCGTCGTCGAGTGTAGCTCGACATACAAGCTGCTACTGGTGCTAACCATGTCGAGTCACACTCGACATCCGAGTGCAAAGGTTAAAACCAGGTGCCAAAAGCAAGAGGTGAGGCGGAAAGCATGGGCTTTAGAGTCAGGACAGAGTGGGAATGCAGGCTCTGAGAGGCACCGGCTCACCCCCGGGGCTCAGCGCCGAGGCACGCCGAGTGGGGGGGGTGATGGGGGCGCTCACAGCTCTGAGCCTCACGCGCCTTGGCTGTAAAGCAGGCGGGACGCGCTGGCTGCGCGAGTCTTGAGAGAGTCTGAGCTAACACGGGCGTGGGGCGTCTGGATGCAGCAAGGGCTCAACATCCGTTCGCTGAGGACATTCAGGACTTGTGTTTTAAGCCCCTCCTCTGCACAGCCAAGCTCAGGCTCGGGGCTGGGTGTGTACGGATGCAGAGTCGTGGCCCTGGTCCTCAAGCAGCTCAGGGCAAGGATGACAGTGCGGAGTGATGAAGGTGTGCCCAAGGGCGGGCACAGGGGAAGATGCTGCACTGTCCCCCAGCAACTCCAGGATGGCGACCCCTGGAAGCTGGCCTCGCCTGGGGTCCTTCCGCCTCCAGTGCGGACACTGTCAAGTAGGAGCTCTCACCGTCAGAAGGGTCTCTGTGCCCTGTAAAAACGAGGGTGGGGTTCGTGTTCCAAGACCCTCCCTGCGTGTGAGAACAGAGGTCCTGGAGGAAAATCGTGCAGCTCCCAAGACACAAGGCTGGGCCCCTCAGTGTCCCCCTCCCCTGAAGCTCTGTGTTGACAGACAAGAACCACCATGCCCCCCACTGGTGCCTGACACTCCACAGTCTCCTGCCCCCCCCAATGGGCCATGGGGGAGGCAGTGTCAATGTCCCAGTTTTGCAGAAGAGGACATGGAGGTTCCCCATCCCTCAATAAGGAGCCTGGGCCCCTTATTCTTGTTCCACGGCGCATGGCATCAGCATGGGACCTAGGGCCTGAGGGCAGTCCCCTGGTGAGGCTAAAGCTTAACAGAGGTCGGTTCTCCAGGGGGCGCAGTGCTCTAGGTGGATCCTTTGGGCAACATGGCCCTTACAGGCTGAGGCAAGCCTGTCCCACCCCTGCCTCTTCTCAGGGTTGTGTTCCTTGTGTCCCCTCAGGCTGTCACCGGGCCTACTGTGGAGACGGTCACCGGCATGAGGGTGTGGAGGACTGTGACGGCTCTGATTTTGGCCACCTGACGTGCGAGACCTATCTGCCTGGGTAGGGATGACCCCATGTGATACTATGAAACCCCTCCCTCCCCTCTTGCTCCTCCCCGCCCCCTCCTTTCCTTCTTTCCTTCACAGATATATATTTTTTTGAGACAGAGTCTCACTCTGTTTCCCAGGCTAGAGTGCGGTGGCGTTAGCCTAGCTCACAGAAACCTCAAACTCCTGGGCTCAAGCGATCCTCCTACCTCAGCCTCCCGAGTAGCTGGGACTACAGGCATGTGCCACCATGCCCGGCTAATTTTTTTCTGTATATTTTTAGTTGACCAATTAATTATTTTCTATTTTTAGTAGAGACAGGGTCTCACTCTTGCTCAGGCTGGTTTTGAACTCGTGACCTTGAGCAATCCGCCTGCCTCGGCCTCCCAGAGCCACCACACCCGGCCCTTCACAGATATTTTTTAGTGCCCCTCCCATTCCTGGTACTTTCTAGACACTGAGGTACAGTGATGAATGACACAGCACATGCTCCCTGCCCAGCTGGAACTTCTGCTCAGGGGAGACAGGCGGTCATCACACACTCGCCGTGCCCCCCCCCCCCAGTCAGCACAGACTGCGTGCCACAGATGCTGGGCTGGCCACCACAGCCACCACTCCGACCCGGGCCGCAGGGAGCCACAGTCTGAGCTCCACTGTTGCTGTGGGACTTGCAGCCCCCACACCCCAAGGGGACATCGGCCTCCTGAGCTGTGGGCCTGGGAGGGAAGCCCAGTGGGGGGCAGAGGAATCAGGGCTTTCAATGAATCCATGTGTCTAGTGACCTGGCTGCCCTGGAACACCCTCCCTGGCCCTCGGGCCTGCCTGTGGCTGCAAGTGAGATCCCACCCGCCATAACATCTCATTTTGCTGCCTTGTGGCCCCTCTGAGAACATATTCCCTCCAAGAACCTCTTTGGTTATTTCCTAGAATCCTCAGTGGGTGTTCATGTTACTCAGGACAAGTATTCGGGTGTCCTGGCCTCCTTGTTGACATCTTCCAAGCCAACTGGGGGCCGCCCCCCATGAGGTGCTGCCTCCATGCCCAGTGTGTGGCCTTCTGGGCTTGTTCCACGTCCCCTTTACTGCTCACATACCAGAGTCGTATAACGTTCTTGGGAAAATGGGCGCTTCCTCATAGCTAGTCCCTGTCCTGCCCTTCCCTTGGTTCCAGAGTGGATCTGTTGACCCCTCAGGTCTCTCTCTCATTTTTTTTTTTTGAGAGAGTCTCACTCTGTGGCCCCAGCTAGAGTGCAGCTGTGTCATCCTAGCTCACTGCAACCTCCAACTCCTGGGCTTGAGCAATCCTCCTGCCCCAGCCTCCCTCGAGGAGCTGGGACGACAGGAAAGCATCACCGTATTTCTCGAGCTCAGCAGTCCCATCTGGCCAGTGGCTGCACAGTTATAGAAGAATCTTTGCATCCGAATGGCGTGTCCTAATGGACAGCACCGGAAACCTTTCAGGCCTTGAGCGGGAGGGCTCTCTGGTCAATGTGCTGTTGACAGCGGGGCTGCCAACTCCTTCCATGCAGACCCCTCAGCTGGGGCTCAAGGCAAAACACTCAGAGACTGACTCAACTCCCCCAAGCCCCTCGCCCCAAATGAGAAGGAGAAAACTTTTCGCAGAACCCTTGGCCGCTGGCAAGGTGGCAGCGGTGGCGGTCGGATGAAGTCTGGCCGAGAGTCAGCAGAGGTGGCCTCTCAGGGCGTGTCCTTACCTCCCTAGGTCGTACGGAGCCCTGCGCTGCACGCGGTACTGCTACATCGACTCCACGCCCTGCCGCTACTTCACGTGAGGGCCCCGAGAGAAGGTGGCTGCGCCCCCGTCACCGGCAGCGGCGTCCTCGCTGTGCCAAACTGGCCTTCGCACCGTCCTGGTCCAGCCTCCACCAACCTTCGTGTGACAAAAACAAACTCCTGCTGCTAAGACGTGCTTTTAACTCATCTGACTGGAAGAATTTTAGGACCACCGCATCCCGTCTTACTCCGAAGGACCAGCAAACCTTCCACGTGCCCAGCCTGGGAACCGTCCCCTACACTACCGTGCGGCCTGGCAGCCGCCACAACACCCTTCCTCTTCCAGAAAGTGGCTGACCTCGGCCGTGGACTTGGCTTAGCACTGTTAGACACACAGAGGCCTCAGGGGGGCTGTCAGTCTGTTTCAATCTCTCGTCTGGGGCGTCTGGAGTCCAGGCGTGGCGCCCCTCCGACCCCCGGACCGCAGGCACACTCTCGGGGATGGCCGCCGGCCCACGGGGTCTCCCAAGGCCTGTGAACCACGAAGCAGGGAAGTGGGCACCTTCTCTCCGTGTGGCTCACGGCTTTGGGCCCGCCAAGGGACCCCTCAGCTGGCCCAGACCCCACTGGATGTGGCCCCCCAGGAGGAGACTTAACTGTGAAAAAGTACGGAGAACCCGCCAGACCCCTGCTGGCCAGCCGGGGCTGCACTTGCCACCAGCAGTGAGTGGCCCAGCCGCCGCCCCTATTCTCCGCGCTTCCCAGGCGGCGGCTCTTGCGCTTTCAAAACCCCTGGCAGCATCTTGACCTCGTGGCTCTCTCTGCACTTTGACCCTTGTCTTGCAAATAAATGTCCCTCATGTCTATTTCCCGTCCAGGAGACTCACGGGCACAGAGTTGACCTGCGCGAGTCCACACCTGCGCAGGCGGTGGGTGTTGCCTTGGTCCTTAGGGAGACACCTCCCCGGGCTTCCCACCTGGGGCTGGCTGCCCAGGACACTCTCCTGGCCCATCTCCTCGCTTCTGCTGGCTCCTGTGAGTGCCCTGTGACCCTCTTTCGTGTCTGCGAGTTGGTGGCCTTGTCCTCAGGTCTGTGTGGCTGCGCTCCGCACTCTCTATGGGATTGTCGGTCCTGCGTGTCTGTGAGCTGCCCTGCACCGCCGTCTACCCGCATGGGGCTCGGCTTCATTGTGGAAACGCATCTCCAAGGTGCGGTCCGCCCTCACGTGGGATTTGCCCTTGTGTTACCAGGTGGAAGGACACCCTGGAGTTCTGTACATAGCTGTTGAATGAGCCTGAGTCTTGGGACGCAGCAGGCAGGAGCTTTGGGGCCAGCAGGCCATCTGCTGGGGGTCTGTTGGGGGACCCTTTCTCCCCCAGGGGACGTCAGCCCGAGGGTGGTGTCTTCGGGGCAAGTGCCTTGGTCAGTCCAGTTCCCTAAGCCCCCTGCAGGTTCTGGGGAGACGTCGATTCTGTGCTGCTTTGACCGCCGCACCGCGACTTCCGGATGGGAAATCGAGAAATAAAGGCAGTTCATTTCCCCGCTGTGGCTCTCTCTTCCTTGGGGCGTGGGGCCAGGGCCTCAGCATTGCTGGATAGTGAGGGGTCTGAATTCAAGTCTGCTTCCCTATCTCTGCAGAGGGTCGTAGCATGTGGAAGCACTCCAGCTCCCTCAGAGACCAGGGAGGAAACTGAGGTCCAGAGATGTGGTGAGACTTGCCCAAAGTCACGAAGCTCTGTCTTGCTTGCCCAGCCCTGCCCCAGCCTTGCTTTAGGACCTTGTCTAGGATGGAATGGAGAGTCAGGACTGACCTTGGACCTGACCAAGAGGGCCCTCTCCAGGCCCCTTAGACTGGAGGGTGCCACTCTGGCCCTCCTCTGGCCATGACCCTCCCCACAGGGCAAGGTGTCCGTGGGCTTGCACGCCCCACTCCTGGGCCATGCTCCAGGCACCCGCGAAGCCACGATTCCTGCCCCAGTGGTCCTGAGCCTGCTTGCAGGCCTGCGCGGACCTCTTCCCCACGTTCCTCCTCCCGAGGGTGACCTGCACACGCTCAGGCCTGAGGGGTGGCCAGGGAGAAGCTGTTTGCAGGGATCATAGATGAGGCTTGGATGCGGCTGGCGTTTCCACATGGACACACGAGGCCGTGCGCGGTGTGGGTTGGGCCGAGGGTGAAACGGAAGGGGTCGGGCGGGGAGCTGGGCCTTGCTCCCCTAGCGCTGCCACAGGACTTTGTGGAATCTAAAATTCCAAACTCAAACCTGGCCTTCCGTGTAAAAGTGTATTTATTGAGGTGAGCAGACAGAACATACCTAATTAATAGTTTTAGCCAGGAGTGGTGGTGCGTGGCTGTAGTCCCAGTTACATGGGACGCTAAGCAGGAGGATCACTTGAGGCCAGGGGTTTGAGGCCAGCCTGGCAACACAGTGAAACCCTCATCTCTAAAAAAAACAAAAACAGGCCGGGCGCGGTGGCTCACGCCTGTAATCCTAGCACTCTGGGAGGCCGAGGCAGGCGGATTGCTTGAGGTCAGGAGTTCGAAACCAGCCTGAGCAAGAGCGAGAGCCCATCTCTACTATAAATAGAAAGAAATTAATTGGCCAACTAATATATATATAGAAAAAATTAGCCGGGCATGGTGGCACATGCCTGTAGTCCCAGCTACTCGGGAGGCTGAGGCAGCAGAATTGCTTGAGCCCAAGAGTTGGAGGTTGCTGTGAGCTAAGCTGACGCCACGGCACTCACTCTAGCCTGGGCAACAAAGTGAGACTCTGTCTCAAAATAAATAAATAAATAAATAAAAAATAAAAAATTAGTTTATTCATTTGATTATAACATAAATATTCAGACATTTGGTATGTGAGTATCTGTATATGTTCTTGTCCGAAATGTTAGGGGTGGGCCTGTCTCCAGCTATTTCAAGGCAGGGTTCTGAAAGGCTCAAGATATGAAAGGATCTGAAGTCATGTGCTTTAATAATACATGTAATAACAGCAGTTCTTCCCCTTTAGCATTTTGAAATGGAAAGACGGGAGGTCAGGGCAGACAGGTGGCTCCCAGTCCTCCCCTGAGGTCCACAAACAGAAGTGGCCGTGCTGCCTGGAGGTGGGCCAGGCAGCCATGTAATAGGTACCCAAGAGCTCGACCGGACCAGGTAAATGTTTCCTGAGATACTTTGCTGGTCCAGTAGGAGGCTGAGATGCTACAATGTAGAGGGAAGAACACTGAACTGGGAGTTGGAGTACCTGTGTTCAGACTCTCACACAGTCTCTATTTCCTCACCTGAAAGAGCCTGTAGACAAGGGCTGAATTTTCTTCCAACTCTAACAGCTTGTGAATGTGGACTCTTCTCTCTAGCTCTGACAGCACGTGTCCTAGGAGTGGTCATGGATTCCCTCAGCTACTCCCGAGGTTGTCACATGAGTGGCTTAGAATATGACATGGTCTTCAGAGATGCAGTTGGTCACCAAAGGAGGCTCTGCCTATTCAGATGCTTTTGTTGGCAAGAAACAGAAAATGCAATCTGAATACTACAAGGTAATATTTATTGGCTCATAAGACTTAAAAAGTCCACTGGTAGGGTAGAGATCAGGCATGGCTCAATCAAGGCCTCCCCACTCCATTTCCCTGCTCTCTCTCAGCTAGCAAGTCTTGCTATGAGCCTCCTTGGCCTGTTTCAGGTCACATGCCTATTCCTGAACCAGTTCCTATTTATCAGGAGAATGGCACCTGCTAATTAGCTGGGTTCCTGAACCCCTGGTGGCAAAGGTTATGCAATCACTCTTAGCCTATCCCCTGGGGTTTCTCCAGAAGCACACAGGCTAGATGGGGACTGGGGGGCTACTGGACTGAATATGGGAGAGCAAGAACGGGGAGAATGGGTGCCAGGCACACACAGTGTCCATGACAGTGGTCATCTCCGGTTTTGCTTCTCCTTTTGGAAGGAATAGGCGCTGAGCACTTGGAGCAAATATTTGGGAAAACTGCCCAAACCCAGAAGGTTCTTGATTGATTCCGATAAGTGCACTCAGAGAGGTTGACTTTCACAGGGTGCTGTAGGTCAAGTAAGATGTGGAGTGAGAAAGCAGGGACTGGAATCACACATCTGGATTTGAATCCTGGCTGTGCTGCTAACTTTAATTATCCTGCAAAATTTACTTAACTTCGAGTCTCTGCTTGCTCATCTAGAAACTGAGATAATAGTACCTTATTTCAAGGTTGTGGTGAATTTGAGTGATAATATGGTTAAAATTCCTGCCACCTAGAAGCTGTTTAGGAAGTGTTGGATTTTATCTGTGTCATTATCATTATTTAGTGGCTCAGGCTGAATTCAATCACCTCTTTGAGGAGCTAGGGGTATTTTTCTCCTCTCTTTGAGGCTGATTATGTGAATTCACTTTGGACAGCAGTTTAGACCACAGCCTTTATTGCAAAGCAGTAAAAAAGAGCAGTGGAGCCAGGAGCAGTGGTGTGTACTTATAGTCCTAGCTACTTGGGAGGCTGAGGCAGGAAGATCACTTGAGGCCAGAAGTTTGAGGCTGCAGTGTGCTAGGATCTCGACTGTGAATAGCCACTGCATTCCAGCCTGGGCATCATAGTAAGACTCCATCTCTAAAAACAAACAAAGAAAAGTAGCAGTGGTTCTCACACTCTGCATAAGAGCCCCTCCGACACACACCACCAGGTTACTGACCTGTAGTAGGGAGAGCAAACACCCAAAGAACAATGGGCATTTTATCGAACCAAGAAAGACAAGATTCTGATAGGATCTGGGAAGGGATGGAGTTTCAGGAGAATGGGAATGGAGTGGTGATGAGAGGCTCAAAGTAAAGCAGGCCGTGCATAAGGGGACCACACAGGCCCAAGCTGTGTGGGGGACCAGGTCCGGATCCCTCAGAGCCTTGGAGCTAGATATATATTTTCGTGCCTGAAAAACCAGCAGAAATTCTGCATCTAGGTTGGAAATTGAAACTTGCTTCTGGGTGTCAGAGTGACTCCCGAGGCCCAGATCTTCCAGGCAAGAGTGGATTATTCCATTCTTACAGGATCTTTCAAACTGCAAAGTTTTGACAGCCTCTGACTTCAGTCGCCAAGTTTTGTGGGATTTTTTTTCAGGTGGAGAGAGTCACAAAGAAAGGCTGGGGATGTCATTGAAAAGAAAGCAGCACTCACTCAAAGAAAAGAGTGATTATGACACTTTGCAACTGCAGTGGTGACCTTGGGAGAAATACTGCTTTCCGTTTGCAGCGGGTGTTCTGGGCGTCAGCCAAGGCAGTGTGACGCATGGCGGGGACACAGGGCTGACTTTTACTCAGTCTGGACCCATTTTCTCACTCTTTCAGTTTGGGCTGGTTTGGATGCTTGCACCAGTAACAGAGGCCTGTGCTTTGCTCAACTGCCACCCAAGGATCCAGCCTGTCCCTGGGGTTCTCTGGGCCAGCCCAGAAGCTCCCACCATCACCAGGGAAGTGTGGGATGGGGATTGGCCCCAGGCCTCCATGTACCTGCAAAGCTATTTCAGTAATAAATTTGTAAGCAAAGTAAGGTTTTCGAAGGAAGCTTGGTCACCAGACACTTAGGAACTAGTGCTGAAGGTAGCAGGACAAAAAGTTTCTGAGTGTCTCCTGGCAAAGACACATAGGGTGTGCGTCACTCTGTTGGGGCATGGAGGACATGAATGGATCAAATTGCTCCAGAGCTCATTACCATGAACGGGCCGACCTGTGCCCCAGTGATGGCTTCACTGGAGTGGTCCAGTCCCATCCCTCCCCGCAGTAGACTGAGCCAATTAAAATTCTCAGTGAAACTCAGTACTTCCACTTGTGCAGTGACAATCAGCTCACAGATCAAGGACAATGGTAATTCACCAAGGAGATTGCTGCACTGAAGCACCCACTATTACCAACCCTAGGCCCAGAGGTTCTGGAAGGATGGTTTATTCTCCTGCATCCTCCTTTGCAACCATTCTGAGAGTTGCAAATCACAGGAGTGGTGGGTGGGCTAAGGACTCCCGGCTCCCACCTCATCCAACTCTGCCTGAGGAAACAGTGAAAGAACTCACATTGCCTTCATCTGGGGCTTTCTCTCTGGGGGCTCACCCTGAGGTCTTTTCTGTCGCAGACAGTTGGCATTTAGAGTCAGACCATTCCACAAGCAACACAACCTTAATAAAGGAAGAAATTAACTATTTCCCCTGCCCTCTGTTGCTCCTTGCCCCACCACCTACCCCTTTGTAGAACTGAAAAGAGGCCACATGTAACACTGAATTCTGCTGCAAAGACACTAGTACCTCATAAGAATTTCAGTTGGGGTTATTTTGGCCCCTGAATTTCTTCAAGGATAATGAGGAAGTAGCTTGTCTTCCCTATCCCCCAGCTCTTCTACATTTTGGTCTTTGATGTGCCAACCCATCAACAGTACTACATGCCACTGCATGTCCCACCCTCAGGTTGCCTCAACCCTTTCTCACCCAGCAGGGAAAGCTGAAGGCAGCCATCATGATCACAGATCATTCCTTGAGGCTCAGCAAGGGAGGCCGTTATGTCCTGGGGCAGTGGTTCTCAAGCTTTAGTGTTCACCAGAATCAACCTGGAGGGCTTGTCACAAAGGTTACTGGCCCCCACCCCAGAGTTTCCAAGTTAGTAGGCTTGAGAAGTTGCATTTCTAACAACAGCCCAGAAAATGCTGATGATATTAGGTCCAGGATCACATTTTAAGAGCTACTGCTTTGGAGAGATGGTTCATCTGAGAATAATGGCAGAAAACTGGATAGAAAGAGCACAGGGAAGAAAGGTAGGGACACTGGGTGGGTGGCTTTCTGATATTCTTCCATTCAAGCAGTATAGTCTATGCCCCCTCCTCTTGAATCCAGGTAAGTTTTAGACTGCTTTGAACAACAGAATACTATGGATATGATGCTATATGACTTCCCAGGCTAGGTTGTAAGAGGCCATGCAGCTTCTCAGAACACTCATTTTAGAAGAAGCCAGCCATTGTGGAAGAAGACCCTCTACCCTGCGATGGCCATTCT